ATATATAATAGAATGCAATCTACTTCGCTTGGATGTAAATCATATATCTCGACACTTTGCTGATACGGTAACATTTTAACGTTTTAATTTAATTTAAACTATTAGTAATAATTAGTTGATTTATTTAATGCATGATTATTAGATTAAGAATTAATTTTTGTAATTATTTATTTTTAGGAGAAGTATCGTGTATTAAATCCTTTTATTAGGAATCTTAAGTTAATGATACGTAGCTGTGTCTTGTCGTATTTAGTAGAGGTTGTATTTGGTTACATAGGTAGATATAAGGGTCACTGTAAGATAGAACCAAACTTTATTTATGCCTTAGTAAAGCGGTGTAGGTCGGAGACCCACATATTCCATCTTTCGTGCGGAGAGTTCACGATCACGCTTGAGGATGTTTCTATGCACCTGGGGCTTCCGGTGGATGGAGATGTGATATCAGAGATAGTTTCCGGTTCTTGGACTACTTTGTGCCGGGATAATCTATGACGTGTCCCAAAAAGTTTTATCGGATGTATGATACCGTTAAATTGGTTAGATGCCAATTTTCGGGAGTTGAGCGCAGACGCCTCTGAGGATGAGGTTAAGATGTATGCACGAGCATGCATGTTGCAGTTGACAGGAAGGTTGTTGATGCCGAACAAATCGTAGTTCACTGCATGTGGTTGCGACATTTTAGCGACTTTCGTCTCGCCGGATCATTCAGTTGGGGCTCGGCGATTTTGACTTTACTGTATAGGGAGATGTGTGGAGCCACTGACTACAGGCGTAATGCTATCGGCGGATGTTTCCTGCTGCTGTAGTCTTGGGCATAGTATCGATTGCCCTTTTTATGTCCCGTTGTGAAGAACTCATTCGTATTTCCACTACTTCTGAGGTAATTATAAAACTGATTTGTATATTAATAAGTTTATACAACGTATAATAATTAGTATAATATTTTTTCAAATAATGATAATAAACAATAAGTATAATTAAAAAAATTATAACAAAATTACCTTATAACGAAAAATCGCACGAACTTCTAAATCAAATATGAGAAGATTGTCAGAATTATTACTCGTTGACGGAATTTTTGTATTAATTTATAAGTTGAGAGGAGAGATGCGAGGAGATGTGAGAAACTTAACCGGCGGAGGAGGTATTTATAATCATATAAGGCGCGGTACCTGCACCGCGCTATATGTAATTATTCAGATAAAAGATATAACGCGGACCAGGAACCGCGTTAAATATAATTCACCCCTACGTGGCGTATAGCGCGGCCCCTAATTCGCGCTATACCCCTACGTGGCGTATAGCGCGGATCAAGGGGAGCGCTATACACACGTGTAACCCATGTCAGCGTATAGCGCGGTACAAGAGGCGCGTTATACCCCACGTGACGTCAAATCAGTATATAATGCGGTTCAGGGGACGCGCTTTACTACTACGAGTGTTAGATCAGAAATATAATCTGACCAGTTTTAAATCGGTAAATATACCGATCACCGATGATTTTTCGGGAAATACGCCCATTTATTCCCCCTCAATGTAAAGTAAAGGATGCTATTAAATCGGTTAAAGTCGATTAATTAATTTAACAAAAAAATTATTAATTATTATTATTGTATTTTTTCAAGTTTTAAAGGACTTACATTTTGAGAGTATTGCAATATATTGTTTAGTTTTATATATTTTTTTATTTAAATTGAGAATTCGAGTAGTAATATTAATAATGTGATGTGCGGGTAGGGATAACAATAAGTCAAGTGAGTCAAAAAATTGTATCGATTCGAATATTATATTTCTTATTTGACATTTAATTAGATCCGAGTTTCTTAAATTTTCAGTTGATATGATTTGTAGTGTAAGAATATGAACTCATCTGATTTAAATATAAAAAATCATTTATATTCAATAAAATAATGACTTAATTAAAAAATATAAATAAATAAATATCACAATAATTATATTATTATCTTAGATCGATTATTTTTTTATCCTAAATCCAGATCTAATGTAAACTCACTTTTTCTATAAAAAAATTTATCTTATAATACAAAGTTTTACGTGTGAGTGCATGAGTTGATATATATAAGAATTTAAAGAGTATTATAATTTGGGTTTGGAATTTTGGTTGGGATCATGTTTCGGGTATATTTGTTTGGTTTGGAGAATAATATAATTGTTTTGAGTTTGAGAATTTATTCATTTATTATATGTATATATAAAGTTAGGATCCACTTACACTTAGGGGTGTGTAAATCCGGGTACCCGATTTTCGGATATCGGAACTTCCGGGTCGACAATTTCTTGGCCCGTGTCTCGACCCAGATGTTACGGGTGGGTACCCAGATTTTGCGGGTACCCGGTAATCGGGTATCCGATACTCGGTTTTTAATTTTTATTTTTAAATTATTAATTTTAAAAAATATATATACACAAATTTAAATGTTCGAAACTTCAAATTACATACTCTAATATCCGAACATAAAATTTAAAAGTTCAAAATACAAAATATAATAATCCATAATATAAATAATTCATTATATTTTATATAATTATATATAAAAAAATAAAAAAAATAAAAAACTAACAGGTACTCGGGTAACCGGGTACCCGAAAAAACTAGATTTTGTGACCTGGGCCCGACCCGAGAAATGTCGGGCCGGGTACCCGACCCGGCCGGGTAATTTTTTTTAAAAAAATACCCCGTTTTTTTAGATCCGGGTCAGCGGGTCGACGGGTCGGGTCAACCGGGTCGGGTAATTTTGCACACCCTTACTTACACTTAGTGTAAAACTAAAAGTTTTATACTTTTTTAGGATCGTTGGATGAGATAAAATCAAAAGCTGATGTTAACTTCTTATTTTTTCTAGTGAATATTTTCACATTTAATACTGTTAATCTCATTATTTAATTTTTCATTATCCAACGATCCTAAAAAGATGTAAAGCTAAACGGTTTTACACTATGTAATTGGATCCTACCCCATATACACACACATATATATCGGTTTATCTCAAGTTATTAACATAAATATCACAATCAATTAGTTTAGTAAGATTTAATTATTTTTTAATTCAATTAAAATTAACTTTTATAATATTCTATACGAACTAATTGACCTCAATGGTTAAGGGACTTGTTATTCTCCCTAGAGGTCATGGGTACAAGCATCGACAGAGGTATGAGCATTCATGATTAATTGGTTGAGAGTCTTTAAACAAATATTGTCTTATATTTAATTCAGATGTATCAAAAAAATTATAATAGGCTGAGACAATTAGTTTAGGGATCACAGTAAGTTAGGTTGAGTCAAATTTTTTTATTGATTCGAATATTATACCTCTTATTTGACATTTAATTGGATATTAGGTTAAGAAATTTTTAACTAACCTGAATTTTAGAGTAAAAATATGAACTTATCTTATCCAAATATAAAAAGTTATTTGTATTCGACAAAAAAGATTTATTTGAAAAAATATAAAGAAATAAATATCACACTAATTATACTTAAAATATAAAAAATATTTATATCATTATCTTGAATCGATTATTTTTTATCTTAAATCTGAATTTAATATGAACTTAATTTTTTTATATAAAAAATTGATTTTATAAATTTAAGTTATATGTGTGGGTGCATAAGTTTATATATATAAAAAAGAATTTAAAGAGTAGCATAATTTGGGGTTGGAATTTTGGTTAGGTACAAATTTTGAACAATGGGTATATTTATTTGGTTTGGAGGATAATATAATTGTTTTGAGTTTGAGAATTTGTTCATTTATTAATTATATATATAAATCGCTTATCTCAAGTTATTAACATAATAAACAACAATCAATTAACTTATGAAAATTTAATCCTTTCTTAATCGAATCAAAATCGAAATTCATTAGTTAAATTTATTTTAGTTGAGTTCTACATCCTTTTAAACAATTATTAGTGTAGAAATAACAACAGTCTCCAGTATTCAGTATGCTAGGTAGGTAAAATGTTTAAATTTTTTACCCAAAACTCTCGTCAAGATTCATTGTCATTAAAAAAACATATAAATAATTAGGATTGGGAATCTCCCCTTTGAACACACTTTTGATTTTGTACACATAATGTATTGTTGTTAAGATGTAAGACAGCTCATAATCATATCATTGATTTGTTAAATTGAAAGGTTTGCAATATTAATTAGGGGAGGGGCCTGGTTTAATTTCCAACATTCATGTACGCACGCTTAAAATGAATGAATCAATCAACCTTTCAAAAATCAAATTAGGTAGATAATTAAAATAAATCTATTTGAGATTAAAATTAATTTGGGAAGTACTTATTGGAATATGATTAGAGCTCGTTTAATTATTGCATAAAAATATGAATTTATCTCTATTTTACAAAAAAAAACTTTTTTTTTATTAATTTGGGGTGAATACAATGTAATAATTATTTAAAGATTCTTAGTCATTTGACATTAAACGTTCATATTCCTACATACGTGGTGCTCGAATCCGAGACCTCAGTAAATAATAACAACAATAATATGATTTTTTATGGTAATCCTGTCTGTTTGTTAGTAATATGTGAAGGAATCTGGCACGTAGGCTTTGAGGATCTGGCTTGGAAGCCGTTGAGTTTACATTAATGGACCCATTCCAACTGCTTAGCATACATGTATGTGTGTATGCAGAAAGCATACTTGGGACAAAGATTACAACAATAATTATGTGTTTTTGGAAGCAGTTCTTTGGTCATCTTTTTCTCTATAGCTATATATAAAATTAATTAAAAGTAAAATAATTTAATTCATTTTTAATAAAAATTTATAATACGTATTTTAGTTAATATCGTAAAAATTAGTTAATCATGCCCTCAATCCCTATACTCGTGAGGCTTTTAATCCCTCCACTATTAATTTAAGGAGTATAGTGCATCTACTACACTAGCTAAGCTAATGACAAGAGTATAATTAAGGGAAAAGTGATCATTTTACCAAAATCAAAATGGATTCCAACTAAGTCTAGAGATTAAAAAAGACCCATAAACTGCGTTTTTTTGTTCAACTGTTATTTAAATGCGTTCTGTGATGACTTTCAGATAATCTGTCACTTTCATCACCAATACAGGAAAGGTTTCAAATTCCAGTTGTTGTTCAAGCTGATTCATCATTCCAATACCCAACCCCGTTTCTCAGAGACCCAGAGTCCTAAATTTTGAGACGAACCCATTTCTCAACGAGGTTCGTTGTTGTTATTCATTTGCTCTTCGTTGTGTTTATTGCTCAAAGTTTTGTGTTTCTGATTGATTCTGTTGAATGATGCCTGAACTTGGGTTGCTCTTTTTGATTTTTGGTTTAGAATTTAATATCTGCTTCAGTCTGAATGTTTCTTTATGTGTGATGATTTGTTTAAATATAGAGAGTATATGTTGGAATTCTGATCCTCATTTCCATTTGATTTTGATGTTTAGTTTATCATTTGAGAATGTTCTGGGTTTTCTTTGATTTTCTTTTAGTTTCTCTCCGTGGCTGAAGGGTAGTTGGGTGCTTTTTGGGAAACTTGATTTTGGTTCAGGGTCTGATTGTTCCTATCAATATGTTGCTCCTTCTTATGTTTCAATGCTTGCTTTGCGTTCTTACTGCACTTGTTTACTGTGAATTATGGGTTATGCTACCTGTTAAAGAATATAGTGATCGTGAAGGTATTGTCCTCCTTGGGTGAAGAACAGATGCACGTTTTGTCTCCCAGCTCTAGAGAGAGCTACGGGTGCCTCTTGAATTCACTATGTCATATGTCGTTTTCCAGAAGCGGACATGATGCCTGCATCCGTTCGGTTCTATAGCGGCATGATTTCTATTCTTTAGCAGCTTCAACAGGCGCCCCAAGGCTCTGTTGAGGATGTGTGTGTACTTCAGCGGCACCTAAAGAGAATAATACCTTTGCAGTATCAGCACAATATGCTCTTATGAGTTATGATAATTGGATTTAGTCTTTTTACCCTAAAGTCGATTAAGATTACAAATAAATGCAATCTTTAGACAATTTTTATTGTTAGATGCAGATTGTGGTTTTAAATTGTTTTAGTTGGAACATTTTTCAGGCTTCTTGGTGTCAGTTAAAATGGCGTCTGAGCTGAACAGAAGTTTGTCAAAAACATACATTGGTTTGCAGTTGTGGGTGCTGATTGCAATTTGCTTAGTGGTGCTTTTTTTAGTTATCCTTGGCATATCTCTATGGCTTAGTTTTCAGAACACCCGAAGACCTAATGACATTCTTCCTGTAAGGCAAGAACCTTATGTTGCAGAGGTGATTAAAGAGATAAGTGTTGATCAGGTTTCAGCAAACAATGGTGGTATGAATGCCATTAATGATAAATTTACCAACAGAGATTCGGAGAAGGTTCGGTTTAATGTCGATAATGAAGATAATAGTGGTCAGTCTGGTTCGTTTAATCGTTTAGAGAAAGATGTTAAAGGGTCTCAACTAGGAGAAGGGGGAGGCACTGGGGCAGTTTCCAAACATGGATCTGCTTCGAATCCTTTGACTGCTCCTTCACCTTTTTCTGGCCTTCCTGAATTGTCGCAAGTAAGCTGGGGTCATTGGTTCACTCTAAGAGACCTACAACTTGCGACTGACCGGTTTTCAAAGGATAATATTATTGGTGATGGTGGGTATGGAGTTGTTTATCGAGGCAATCTGATTAACGGAACTGCTGTTGCTGTCAAAAAGCTCATTAACAATTCGTATGTTTCTTTGAAGCCTATTTCTACGGAAAATTCCAATGTCTGTCGAGTTACTCTAGGGTTCTTGACGGTTATGAAGGGGGGTTTTAACGAGGCATCCCTTTCTTATAAAAAAAAATTCTACGGAAAATTAATCCATAGCTTAAAATGTTAGCTGATATGATTCTGTTATTTTTAGGGGACAAGCTGACAAGGATTTCAGGGTGGAGGTTGAAGCCATTGGCCATGTGCGGCATAAAAACTTGGTTCGACTTCTTGGGTACTGCATTGAGGGCACACAAAGGTACCGTGTTGATTTTCATGTGTCTGTCCTAGTAATCCAGGTTGCATAGAAATGAAATAGTTCTTCATTGATGTTTTCCGTAAATTTCTGCTAACAAATCCAGGATGTTGGTTTATGAATACGTCAACAACGGAAATTTGGAGCAATGGCTCTGTGGAGATACATCTCACAAGGGATATCTTACTTGGGATGCCCGCATAAAGATTCTTATTGGCACCGCCAAGGCGTAAGTCTGCCTTTAACTAGATTTTCATTGTGAATGTTTACCAGCTATTTAATCTCATTTGCTACTCAAAAACTACATGTTGCAGGTTGGCTTATTTGCATGAGGCTATTGAACCGAAAGTTGTGCATAGAGACATAAAATCGAGTAATATATTGATTGATGAGAACTTTGATGCTAAGATATCCGACTTTGGTCTGGCCAAATTGCTAGGCGATGGGAAAAGTCATATCTCAACTAGAGTTATGGGTACCTATGGGTGAGAATAATAGCATTCCTTTACAATCATCTGCCTCAATTTTTTCTGACTTTCACTAGTTCATTTATTCCCCTCTTTAGTTTTTCTATGGGTACCTATGGATGAGAATAATAGCATTCCTTTAGTTTTTCTCCCTTGGAGTAAAGTTGTATTGTTCGATCGATTAATGTAATCCTTTTCTCCTTCTTGCATGATTTTCCAGTTATGTTGCTCCGGAATATGCCAATTCTGGCTTCCTAAACGAGAAGAGTGATGTTTATAGCTTTGGTGTTGTGCTCTTAGAAGCAATTACTGGAAGGTACCCAGTAGATTACAGTCGCCCTCCGCCAGAGGTACGGAAGAGCACTTGTCAACATAGGTTTTTTAAAGACTATTACATGTTGTGTGCTTATCCCGAGGAATTATTTGTTATTATGAGATATTTTAATCATTAAATCTGTTGTGTGGTGATTTCTCAGGTACATATGGTTGAATGGCTAAAGATGATGGTTCAACTCAGACGTTCCGAGGAAGTAGTGGACCCTAACTTAGAGACTAGACCGCAAACTAGTGCTCTCAAACGAGCTTTGTTGACTGCTTTGAGATGTGTCGACCCCGATGCAGATAAAAGGCCGAAGATGAGTCAGGTTGTTCGCATGCTTGAATCAGAGGAGTATCCCATTCCTCGAGAGGTTTGATTCTGATACTTTGCTTACGATAACCCGTTAATCATTAGAATTAGGCTAGAGGATAGTAACTTGCTGCTTTTAAATATCCGGCTTAGGGTTGCAACTGTATCGTGACTATTCCGAGCAAAAATTTCAGGATAGAAGACGCCGAAAGAATCTGGCAGTTAATTCAGGCGCTAACCAGGATTAAGGGTCCTAGACTCGGGACTCAAAAATGGTTTTAGAAGCTGAGAAGAGTGATGAGCTATCACCATCCTTAACCTGATGAAATTCTGATTGATACGTTGTAATGGCCTATAGTTGAGAGATGGAAAACATGCAACACATGCAGGTTACCTGGGAATACTTTTTGGGATTGGCTGCGGATCGTAGATAACATTTGTTCATGTCCGGAAATAACAGTCACAAGACACCACAGCCGTAGATTTTTTCTGTACAGGTCTATACGGAGTATGCATAATTTGTTTCCTCGTTAATTCGGTTCTGTTTATGTCGTTGGTCCAATTGTACGACTTCTTGTTGCTCTGAGTTCAATTGAGAAAATAGAACATAGTTGTGTTAAGCAATCGGAATCTACTCCCCGCTTATACATAAAGCTTTGTCTGTGTCCGGAAATAATATTGTCATGAGACACCATTGCCGTGGTTTTTTCTGTACAGGTCTATACGGATTATGTGTAATTTACGTTCTTAATTCAGTTTGATTTACATCTTTTGCCAATTTTTCTCGTCAATTCAATTATTATTTTTATGATGCACTAAAATAATAATCGAATCCAAATTTAATAAAATCAATATATTTATATTTACCATAAAAGTGTCGGCAAACAAACTTTTTATTATTATTTTAATTGTTAGGGAAGAAATTGATTGAATGGACTGTCACATGCATGCGTTATTATATGTTTAATATATGATTTGATTGGATTTGGACTGCCTTATTAACCAACACCAAACCAATCAAATTCATTGTTTTTTCCTCTTGGGTTTAATGCTTCTTTAGTACAATAACTATAACAAATTAGTTGTTTAATTTGGTCTTCCATTAAAAAAAACATTTTAAGTAGTTGAGATTAGTCACTTGATTATTTGAGAGCATATAATTTAAGACCACTGAATCATTTTGGATATTAATTTTTAAATAGATAAAGTAAAAATATCTAATTTTAAATTCTATTAAAATTGAAATATACTACATAATCTGATTTTATAGTTAAATTGAAAAAATATATAATTTTAAAATTTATATGGACTACACCAAAGGGACCAAATTTAATTTTTTTGTCAAATGTATTATATTAAATGATTTACCATATAATTCAAGAGTTCAATATGAGATTATCCTTTTTAATCTCCAATTACACACTTTATCTTATTGTATTTTCCATATACTATTTTATTTTATTCAATTGTATATTATAGGGTTAGGGCACTCTTCGAAGAAAATGTTGCAAAAAAAAAAAACACTGTTCTCTCTACAATTTGCGGGAATTTCCCCTGGAGCAACTTTTCAGGTCAACCATGGCTTAATTATTCGATATTTCCAGTAAAATTTTTATCTTTCCTACCATTTGTTCGAAGACCTGTAAACTTCCATTTTTAAAGGTTGATCTAAAGATTGGGGTTTTGTTATTTTTTTGAGTTGCTTTTGATTTGATACTTGTATCTCGATGCGTACTCAATTATTTGAGTGTTGTAGTGTTTGTTTCTTAATACTGTTTCGACTGATTTCAGAGTTTAAATGGGGGGTTTCTGAAGTTGCTGAATTATGACGCGTTTCTCCCTCTTTGGTTCTAAATCTTGTAGCTTTATGGAATATGCTTTTAGGTGTTTTCCATTGCTGCCTTTCCTTTGCGTCTTTCATCACTGTTTTCTTTGCCTCAAATTCCCTCTTCCTTTTTGTTTTCGTTGCACTGAGATTTTTATGGGTGTTTGTTTGACCACTAAAGATGAAGCCTGTTTCCTTGAACATGTGATCTGTGCTTATTGAATTACTGTATCATGCCTTTCGCTTGAGTCTTTTTAATTCAGGGGCATATTTTCCCCCTCCCTATCCAAGTATGAGCTAGAAGAAAAAAAGAACTATACTTGAGATTCATCTATAAATAATAGGGTTTTTCCATTGTTAATTTCTCTTGTTTGACTAGTGAAATGAAATCCCTTGGTAGGCTTTGTTGGAATATCAGTGGATGCATAGAATTTCTGCTGTTTTTGAATTTCAGATTAAGAATCTTTAATCAGTTTAAAAATCTTGTTTGATTCTTTGCTTGAGCTTCTTATGTATTCTTGTTATTGTCAATGACATTTGAGTTTCAGATTCATGTTTCTCCACTGAAACCCACAAAGTAAAAGTCTGACTTTGTTAACAAGAAGAAGCTATGTACCCGGAAGAAGCCCCTGAGTTTGTAATTGATCAAGGATCAATGTACTATCCTACTGCAACCAACGTTGGCTATTATTTTACTGGTAATTTAATCGCCTTTAGCTTAATGTTCATGGATGATATTTATAGGACCTCAGGTTTATATTGTTGATTGCATTTCGGCAGGTTTTGAATCACCTGTTGAATGGGAGGAACACCAGAGCATTTTTAGTGGTGATGGTGCAGATGTGCAATTTGCGGTGGGTGAACTTATCTTTCTAGATATAATTGATAATTTTGAACAATCAGACATGTATCCAAGACATGTTGCTTCTTAATGATTTATCATTCCAAAATTTGCTTAGTGCCTGCTTTCTTTTTCTCAGGGTGCCCAAACCGAAAGTTTGCCTTTTGTATATTACACACCTAGCTATGGATACGAACAGTCTCCATACAACCCATACAATCCTTACATGTCTAGTGCTGTAATGGGTGAGGGCCCGTTTTTAGGGGCACAGCAATATTACCCTGTTCCTCCTTTTCCAAATCCTGTATCACCGACTGCTTATGTTCCTGTCATCATTCAACCAGATGGAATTCCAAATAGTTCAACAGAATATTTGCTTGATTCTCGTGCATCGGTCGCTAATAGACCTGATGGAAGGGGAGTTAAACATAACCCTACTTCAGCATCTGCAGCTTTTTCTAGGAACTATTCAAAATCTACTCCAAATCAGGCTGATTCCTTGACCAGGGTATCGGATGGGGCAAGTAGGCATTCTGCAATCCATGGAAAATTTCCTGATAGTTCTCATCCAGTGCCAGCACACATTCATCAGGTGCATTTGCATAACTTCTAGTTTAATTTTATATTGAATTGGACTTATTTGAATTTTTTTTTATGGAAATTCAATTGCTTCACATCACCCATGTTTGAAGGTTCTTATCCAGTAATTATATTTGTAGGGTAGAATTGCTTCTGGTTCCATTCAGTCTACTGGCAATAGTCCTGGTGGGAAACTTCCATCTCATCGTAATCAATTACAAGTGGATCTTCCTGTTGGTAATACATTTCCAAACTATGGATCAACTGCTCCTGGACGTGATGCACTGGATAAGCTTCGATCTAATGTCCATGTTGGCAGGGTTCAGAATGATGCACATGGTTTCCCAGATACATTGGGAGAACAAAATCGTGGCCCTAGAACCAACAGATTAAAAAACGAATTCACGGTTAAAGCCTACACAACTAAAGCAGGAAATATTGATGTTGAAGGAAACATCGTTATCTGTACTGATCAATATAACAAGGATGATTTTCCAATTGACTATGTTGATGCAAAGTTCTTTGTAGTAAAATCTTATAGTGAGGATGATGTACATAAGAGCATCAAATACAATGTTTGGTCATCTACACCCAATGGGAACAAAAAACTGGGCAGAGCTTTTGAAGATGCACAAAAAATAGCTGCAGGGAAACCTAGTGGCTGCCCAGTCTTCCTGTTCTTTTCGGTGAGTTCTATAATTGTTTTGGTACCAAGGGACTTTAATTGATTTAGACTATTCTAAGATTTTTTTTAAATGGAAGTGGTTATGTAATTTCTGATATTCTTTAACCACTCCAATATGGTACTTTGTACACACAGGTTAATGCCAGTGGACAATTCTGTGGTGTGGCGGAGATGATTGGCTCAGTTGACTTCCAGAAGGATATGGACTTTTGGCAGCAAGATAAGTGGAGCGGAAGCTTCCCTGTCAAGTGGCACATCATTAAAGATGTTCCAAATAGCCACTTTAGACACATCATATTAGAGAACAATGAAAACAAGCCGGTGACCAATAGCAGGGATACACAAGAGGTATGTACAGATGTTTAGTTTTCGTCTAATTGAAGGGAAACTATTAACATAGAAACTATTTCACCACTCTTTAAAAGATTATTTCTCCCGAGTCCCCACATGACAATCTGGGCTTCTGAATTTTGATATATTTACTCCGGAATAATAATCTTGATAAGATAGATCTGCATGTTATTTTGTGTCTTATAAAATGTCTTCTCAACTGCAGATAATGTACAAGCAAGGTATGGAGATGCTTAAAGTATTCAAAAATCTTACAATGAAGACTTCTTTACTTGATGACTTCATGTACTATGAAAATCGTCAGCGAATCATGCAAGAAGAGAAAGCCAGGCTACTAACAAAAAGCTTTGAGAATCCAGTCCTAGCACCAGCATTGGATGTTGCCAATAAGCTAAATTTTGAGCTACGTCTGAATGACAATGAGAAAGACACCAAGCCAAGTGATCCTGACATGTTGAAGAGCACTGTTCCTTCATCTAGTCAGCAGGTTTCTTCAGATTCTGATATGACTAATGCAAGAACTATGAATGAAAACATAGAGCAAACTTCAGTCAACGCCAACAACGACACATCTACATTAAAGATTGGTTCGCTCTCAATAAATCCAAAGCAGGATGAGTCTAAGCCCTCTGTAGATGCTTTAGTTCATTCAACAAACACCAATGCTGTAGAGATGGTGACAGTAGGATCTATGCCAGTGAAAGTCGATGGTTTTACAGAATCGTCTGGTTTCCTTACTGTTGGTACTATTCCTCTTAATCCCAAGACCCTACAGGCTGGAGGTAATTCCTCTAAAATGGGTAGTAATCGGGAGAAGACTAATGACTAACTGGTGCTTATTTTTCCGGCTGGAACATACTGCGAACGTGCTAGTTATGGTGCAGTCTTGACTGTTGTAAAACTGAGTGTATCATCATACTGAATTGTTACAGGATGGTTAAACAAAATACTTGTTCAGGTCAGCTTTTTCTGTTTATCACCCCACTCCCTTGAAGCTGGTTTCCAATCCATGGATAAATATACTGACAGTCGGACAGACAGTATTTTTAGTTTTTGTGGGTGTGGGAGGTGCTTTCAATTTCGTTTCTGAAATTAAATACTGGGAAAACGGTGTAATCTTTGTTGTTTTGCACTTCAATATTGAAATTAAAGAAAGAAATATGTTTGGATTTTGCAAGATACCGTATCAGCCGTGTTTCCTGTTGAAATCAATTGTAAGATATATTTTAGTTGAAATTGCTATATATATATTATGGTTGGATTCAAATTCAAAGCAGGTACATTTATGCTTCAGTTTCATGATGCTAGTATCCTATGTGGGCATATTCAAACTTGAAGAAGATAAGACATAACTTTTTGCAAGAGGCTAAAATATATAGATTACATTTCAAGGCCATGCACAACATGATGGATGGCTTAGTTTGGACCTTAGATTTGGTGAGGGACCCAACATTAAAAAATCTCTTTCTTTACCTTATCATAGAACTACTTAATTTTATCATCCACCACAACAGAGCAGAGCAGAGCAGAAAAAATGGCGTCTTTGGCTCAACAATTCGAAGGCCTAAGATGTTCACCACTCTCATCTTCCCGTTTTTGGGTGAAACCAAAGAAAACCCGGAAAGTGAGTGCTTTTGCTTTTCCCATTGTTTCAGCTGTTGCTGATGCCCAGACCAAAGCCAGGCTTGAACTCAAGCAGGTGTTCGAGGATGCCTATGAACGCTGTCGTACTGCTCCTATGGAAGGTGTTTCTTTCACCCTTGACGATTTTCAAACTGCTCTTGAAAAATATGACTTTGATTCTGAAATTGGAACCAAGGTTTGATTTTTCATTTTCTTTTTCTTCTTTTCATCTTATTTTATCTAATTCAACATATTGAAGTTTATCCCTATTAGTTCTGGAATGGGAATTATTAGCAGATAGTGTCGACAACTCGAATGTTTGGTAATAGCAATAGGAAAATGGCATGTGTTTTTCAGGTCAAAGGAACAGTTTTCTGCACAGATGCTAATGGGGCATTGGTTGACATTACTGCAAAATCTTCAGCATATCTATCAGTCCAAGAGGCCAGCATCCACAGAATCAAACATGTCGAAGAAGCAGGTATAGTTCCTGGTATGAGGGATGAATTTGTTATTATCGGTGAACTCGAGGCGGATGATAGCTTAGTCTTGAGCTTAAGGTCCATTCAATATGAGCTTGCTTGGGAAAGATGCAGGCAGCTTCAAGCTGAGGATGTTGTTGTGAAGGGTAAGGTGTGTATTCCGTGCCCAACTCTGCTCGTACGTATGTGTTTGGTGCTCTTCAACTGACTGCTTGATATGTGTATCTAGATCGTTGGCGGAAACAAGGGCGGAGTAGTGGCGTTGGTGGAGGGTCTTCGAGGCTTTGTTCCTTTCTCGCAGATATCATCGGTTAGTTCTATGATCTCCCAACTGCATATTTTTAGAACGATGTCTTACTAATTTCATGTCCCATCAGAAATCTACTGCGGAAGACCTTCTCGATAAGGAGCTGCCCTTGAAGTTTGTCGAGGTTGATGAGGAACAGTCAAGACTCGTACTCAGTAACCGCAAGGCCATGGCTGACAGTCAAGCACAGCTAGGAATTGGATCAGTTGTGCTCGGAACTGTTCAGAGCTTGAAACCTTATGGTGCATTCATCGATATCGGTGGAGTTAACGGCCTTCTCCATGTGAGTCAGATCAGTCATGATCGCGTTTCAGACATCGCTACCGTTCTTCAGCCCGGGGACACTCTGAAGGTGACTCAACGCTCACTCATTCTCATCAATCAAGTTTACTTTTTCAATGCTTCATAAAAATGTATTTTAAACAGCATCATATCAAATGATATATAGGTCATGATATTGAGCCACGACCGTGAAAGAGGCAGAGTAAGTCTTTCTACGAAGAAACTTGAGCCTACCCCTGGAGACATGATCCGCAATCCGACTCTTGTTTTCGAAAAGGTCAGTGCTGATAAAATATGGCTCAGACATGTGTATCCTAAAACAATTATCAAACATGTTTCAACATATGTTTTTTTCCTGACAGGCTGAAGAGATGGCTCAGACATTCAGGCAGAGAATCGCTCAAGCGGAAGCGATGGCTCGTGCCGACATGCTTCGATTCCAGCCCGAGGTATGGCTTATAAGTTACCAAACTGTAGTTGGCTCATGATTCAGTGGTTGAACTAAACCTTTCCCATGCTTTTGTGGTTCAATGTTGCAGAGTGGGTTAACTCTAAGTGGTGACGGGGAATTGGGTCCTCTCACATCAGATTTGCCACCAGAAGGTCTAGACCTCAGTGATGTTCCTGAAGCAGAAGATTCTGAGTTTATTTTACTTTTTTTATTGCTATGTAATTTTGACATTGTTTACTTTGAAAAACTGGTTCAATTCAATTGCCTTAATTTCAAAACTTGGAATTTTGAAAGGGCTAATGTTGAAATTTCCCCATTTAGGCAGTGCAATATTAGCTAGCTTTGAGCCTCTGACTACTCTGCAAGGAGTTTCTTGAGGAAGCACCATAAAACCGAGATTAACGAGTACATCACCTAATGGAAACCCAAACTCAAAAGAGAATTTCAATGGAAGTTTTTGCAGTGAAGTCTCTTTCTTGTCATTTTTCACTCTGCAAAGACTGGTTGAGGCTCCTTGTCGCGTCTTTAATTGCTAACAATCAGTTAATCATCTTTGCACTAGATTTGTTGAGTTTTTACTGCCATTGTTTAGCAGACGACGGCCACTGATACAAATAAAGTTCCAAAGTAAACTACTTTTGCAGGCAATAACAATCCACAAACTTTGTTCAATCTTGAAATATCGACAATAAAAGTGCATGTCCCGGCATCTGCTAATCATCGATGAAGACTTAAGAGAGATCGGTACCTGGAAATATCAATATGCCGCCATATACACTCCTTAATGAAAGCTCCCACTGAAGCTTCAGATAACCTGTAAAAATGACCATCCAGCTCAGTTGATACAGCACTAGTCTCTTAATATTGGGGTCGTGGGATCGAGTCCTACGGAGGACATTTCATAATTCGAAAGTCTTTTACGGAAACTGCTCTCAACCTGGCGTTGGAGCAGATTACTATTCTACCTCCCCTTACCCCATTACATATGAGAATAAGAGTCGGCTAATTTATAAACTATTATCATCTTTGTTTCAGAGGATAATCATAAATATATAAGACTATGAAATTGCTCAATGTCTAAAATGGTTCCACACCTGTGGTTTGAGTGTGGACAACTCGAACCCAAATTTTGCGGCTTTACTTTCAATCTACTTCCCTCGGGATGAGATTTTTATAATCAATTTCAACCTGAGGGAAATCTTGGACCACTCTCGTCCTTTAAATCTCGTGCACTCTTCTTTTAGCAACGGACATCCGTCAATACATAGCCATCCAAGAGAGAGAAGCATGTCTTTTTCCGGAAGAGATGTGAGCTTCGGACAATTGCTGATTCGCAATTCTTCAAGAGAAGTGGTGTTGAAAGCCCTTGGAGCACATTAATTCCTGATTCTTGAAATTATCGATCCATATACATGAGAGCGAAGGAGGAAGCGTCATTCCTATATTTTCTTCTGGAAAGGACACCACATTTGAGCATTCTTCACCGCTGATTTCAAAAGTCGTTGAAGAGAGGTGAGTCTATGGAATCCCCATTCAACAAGTGAGGTATCAATTTTTGGTGCATTTATGATTGGGAGTGATACGAGGTTAGTAGGAAGACCATCTTCTGGAAAGGATATGTAAGTCCCACAATCGAACACCGTTAACTGCCCAAGGGAGGTGAAGTTGTTGATGCAATTTGGAAGGGCTCCAAAATTTTCACAATCTCTTATCTCAAGAATTATGAGATTTGTGGAGGGCAACCCAATTTCGTCGAAACAAACCACCAGATTTGAACAATCATGTAGAGAAATCTCCTGGAGATGGATGAGCTTGTCTAATCCTCGCGGTAAAGATTTAATATTGTGACCATCCCAAATTTGAATACTTTCGAGATCAGTGGTTTCATGGAAGTCTTGAGCTATGAATTCCAACACTTGACTGTCCGAAATAGATAGATTTTTTAGCATTACGGGTAGCTTGGAATTCAGAAATAAGCTACTCAACTTTGGGCAGTCGTAAATTTGGAGATGTTGAAGCCGATTGCATATATCACCCCTTGATGATAACCATATTAGAGACTGACAGCGACTAATGGACAAGTGCTCAAGAAGACGAGTGTTGCTACTCATACTCTCATCATACAAATATTGCAAATTATCACAATCCAAAACCATCAGTTCTTTTAGTGCAGGGGGAAGTTACTCTCTGTAAAAGAAACCAAGCTTTGACATCTTAGTACCATTTTTGTAAGGAATGTGAAAGCATGCAACACTTTTGGTAGCAAATTGGAATCATCAATTAAAAACGCTGTTGAGTTTGCAAACCTCAGTAATATCCTCTCTACTGGAATACTTAACTTCGAAATGCTTGAAAGATGCACACTTTGCAACGAGGTAACCTCCTCCACAGGTGAAGATGAGCATTCATCCACCAATTGTTCACACTCTTCCACGCTTAATTCATACAGTGATGGAAAACTTGAAATTGAAACTACCAATCTCCTGCACTCGTAGATATCAAGTCTCTGTAAGGATTGAAGACAAGTTGGCAACCTTCCTAACAATTGAGGACATCGTCTGATCGAAAGCTGACAAAGGCTGGGAAACTTCGAAACATGCTCATCACCTTCACAAGCGTCCCACTACTCCCACTTCGGTAGACTCTCAAAAGACAGTCTCTAAAGATGCAAATGCAATTGACTGGTTTTCTCCAAAGAACTCCGTACCAATCTTGTTCACTTCACCCAAACCACCAATCGAAAGACCTTTAAGGATGGCAACTTTCCAATCGGTGGCAGTGATTTGCAGTTTTTACAATTGCGTAGCTCCAAAGATGACTAGTTCTTGAAGGAAGAATCTGCTATCCAAGTGGAGAATTTTGCACCACCAAAATTCTCAATCACGAGTTGCACAAGCTTTTTCGGAGGACAAAGAGAGTCCAATACTTGCTCTTCAACTTCATTCTTCCTTGTAGGTTTCTCGGAGTCTCCACTCCATTTTAGTACCAACTTAATGATTCCGGATTTCTCATTCAACCTGGCTTCCCTTGCATCTTGATCATTAACATTCTCTAACCTCCAAAGATAAAAATCATCTCTGATGTTTGACAAATTCTTCAATTCTCCAATACGATGCCCATCACCTTCACCTATAAAAAAATCAGATAACCTTTGAAGATTATTTAGATTACCAATTCCTAAAGGCATCCTTTCTATTGAGTTTGCACATCTAATATCAAGACAATGCAAGTTAACAAGATTTTCCATCTTCGAGGGAAATTTTTGAAGCCTGAAACAATATTTTAATAATAAAGTTTCCAAATGATAAAGAGTGCATAAAGAATCAGGTAAACATTTGATTGGATTAAGAGAAAGATTTAAGTAACGTAAATGTCTTAATTTTTCAAAGAATTCAGGCAATTCAGTGATGTTAGATCCCCACAAAGAAAGCAACCTTGAGTAGTGTAGTCCCGGTAATAATTCAACCAAGACAACAATAGTTAAATAACCCCCAAAAGGATGTTGCTTTAACGGTGGAAAAGTACGCAAAGAATTTGCTTAATCAACTGCTTCAAACTTCTTCACCGTGTCATACCGACTGGCGAAATAAGACGAATGACGAGAACGATGTGAAACCATCTGATGCTTATTATCGTCCAGTCCGCAACATATATCTTTACTAGATATATGAAAAAAATGACCTTGACACTAGATCTCGAAAATATTGGTTCCAATATCTTTAATTTGATGTTTAGCTTTTTGCTGTAAGAAGCCTTCTGCACTCCATAACAAGATTATCTCTTCTTCTTTGAATTCGTAATCTTTTGGGAAGATGGATCAGTATGCAAAACAACGTTTCAAATGAGAAGGAAGATGATGGTAGCTTAATCGCAGTGCAGGAATTATGCCACATTGATTTTCTGGTAAGTCCCATATGTCGCTCTCATAAATTCTTTGCCATTCATCAAGAGTCATAGTTGTGCGAAAGAAGCTTCCAATGTCTTTTGCTGCTAATGGTAAACCGTTGCACCTTCTTACTAAGTTCTCTCCAACTTGTTTAAATTGAAGATGCCCATCGAAATTTCTTGCTCTTAATGCATGCTGAGTCAATATGGACAAACAATCCTCATGTGATAGTTTATCCAAATGAAAGGCTTTCATCGGATTCACATTAGATGATACATTTTGAAGACGAGTTACGATAATCTTGGTCATTGCTCCAAAGGGAGACCGTAAAATTGTCCAGACATCGTAACTCATTCCAAATGTCATCTAAAACAAGACTTTTTTTTTGGGATAATTTCTCCTTCAACTTGACTTGAAGTAAATTCAAGTCATTCACATCAGGTGAAGAAGGATCGATGGATTGTAAAATTGTTCTGGTTATTTAAACAGCATCAAAGTCCTCAGAAACACATATCCAGGCCCTGTGATCAAAATACTCCTTTAAGCAGGCATCTTTGTAAACAAGCTGAGCAAGAGTTGTTTTACCCATCCCTCCCATACCAACGATGGTAAGGACGCAAACTCCATCAGAGTTAATAGTTTTGAGCAAATCAAGCATTTCTTGCTTCTCGTTGTCTCTGCCAACATACTCCACAGTTCCATCCACCACGGAAGTAGGTTGCAACCTGGTCGGTTTCTTTCGCTCGGAGCATGCAGCTTGAGCAAGATCTCACTCAACCCCAAACTACTTCTTCGCGTAGCCAGACTGTTGAGTCTAGAAGTGATGTCTTTCATCTTGGGAATCATGGCATTTTTAAATAGAAATGAAGATGGAGAGAAATCAGTACCGGTACAGCAGGTAGGAAGGAGTTCCCGTACCTTACTAGTGCTGACCTGTGCCTGAGTTTTGTGGAGGTTGAGACGTAACTGTTCATAAGCAAAGTCATCCAAGATATCATCAGCGTCGTAAGCCAAGTATTGGAGATCTTCCAACCAGCTTTTGACACCCTCATCCTTGATCTGCTTCTCCTCTGCGTGGTTCAGCACTGCTTTGATATCGGGCAGTATGGATTTCCACTCCTTGAGCTGGTCGTACAGTTGCTTGTGATCAGCAACAAAGTTGAGAACAGCATCGATGGACTTGCCAAGCAACAGATCGGAAAGCTTAGAAAGAGTAGCCTCTCCAATGAAAGCCATGGTGGGATTAGGAGAAAGAAGGCGAAGAGAGAAAATCTACGAAGAAGCAAAAGGGTAGAAGAGGAGATGGATTCTCTGGTAGTGGTGAAAGTAGAACAATATGTTTGAAGCGTCCATTGATTAGGAGTCAACGAGGCAGTTAGTTGGAAGTCATTGAAAATTCCGATTCGTTGTCTGCCTGAAATTATTTGTGGCCATGTGCTATACATTGGACTAGGAGAATATGCTCTTGAAATTTGGATTGCATACACCTTGGCTTTTTGACTTTAATGGAATCCTGTGGCCATATGACTAATTAAAGAAGATTATACTATTCCCCATAACATTAATGCCTATTTTCAACTTAATATTCTCAAAGCCAGGGGCGCTTTCTCCACTTCCAAGAATGCCCCCAATTTTCTAATGTGCCAAGGCCCACACTACCACCTCTACCAAGCACTAATGTGTTATAGTCGTAGCATATAGCTAATTATTTATTTACTATCGTCTTTACCTGTTGATTTTGAGAATTGTTGTGTTTTTTACTACATATATTAGTTTGTAGAAAGGCTTGAAACTAGCTAAGCAGATGAAACAAATTAATTTTCACTTAATTGTTTCGGTTGATGGAGAATTTTTCAATATGTTAAAGACGAAGATTAATTTTTTATTATTATTTAGTTAAAAATATGTTAAAGTGGTCAATTGAACATTTAGTTATAGTTTAGGGGTCAAATTGGATATTATCCTTCTTTGTTCTCTCTCGTCGGCCCCTAATAATCTGATCCAAATCATTTGGGCTTTACCAAATACTGATCCCGTCGTCCGACCTTTTCTACAATCAGAGTCCAGAGATATTATATTGCCAAAAAACATTAATACGTCCCATATAATTCGAATTTCATCTTAAATTAATTATATTTCTTCTTCAATCATTTAATTTTAAAATTATTTTTTTACCCCGTTAATTATTCAACCATATTATAACAGAACATCTATATTTTCAAATTATGAAAAGTCTTAAAATTTTCTTTTAAAAATGTAAAAATATATCTGAAAATTTTCTTCTCAATCTTTAAACATACTTTTTTTTCTTCTAAATTCTCTTTGATCTTTCAAAGTTAAACCATATTCTTCCAAATCTTAACGATGAGGAAATGAAGAAAAAAAAACTAATAATATAATTTGATTTTATAGTGATCAGATGGTAGAGTTGTAGATCATAATCATATTTGTTTAGATTGTGTAACGAAGTTTATTTTGAAAAGAAAAAGATGTTAATATAGTGATAATGATGTGACGAGTTCACTGATATTTGAAATGACCAAAGAAAGTACTAGAGTATAGTGGCTTCAACTACAACATAATATGTGAACGAAATTCTAAAATAAATTGTTTTTGGAAAGATGATAAAATGAGAAGAAGAAAATCAAATCAATTAAAATATATTACATCATCTTTAAATTTTTTTTATCTAACTTCCAAATGTATAAAACTAATTTAATTTAAAATTTGAATGATTACATTTTAAAAAAATTAAAATTGATTAAACAAAATAGAAATACGATCAAAATTAAGTGATAGAAATCATAATTGACCCATATTTTATCCTAGTTTGGAGATGCATATTTGACAAGTTGAGCTATGGAAGCATATTGTATCAAAATCGGTTGGACCGAATCCCATCAATTCAATGGTAAAGACTAAAGACATTCTTAAAGCCTATGAAAGGATGTCTTAAAAAACCAACATAATCCTAACTGGTAGACGTACCCCCATGTTTGGTCCCTCATAAAAGTCCCATTCACCAATCACTATGGAAATGGAATATGGGTTTCGGTTCCCCTATCTTAAGGTCATCCAAAGACACTCAACAGTCGCCATGCACCCTGCATTACCAATGGTCTCATCTCTATCCATAGCCCCCTCCTTGTAGGTTCATGTTGCCCCCCTACATAGGACCATTAATCTGAAGGTCAATCTTGCAGAAGAATGAGAACAACAAGGTTCTCATTAGAGATGGACCGAGGGAGTGTTGGGATGTGCGATGGTATCTCCTAGAAATTTTAAATTTACTTATTTTATAAATTCTTTTTTGTATTTTATACTAGTTATCTAATTTCGCCCCCATTAAATTTTTTAACATAACTTATTAAATTCGTACCTCACATGAATTTTTAACATAACTTTCTTCATTCACACTACTCAAACAAAAATGCAGTCTTTTTCCTTCTCTTTTTTTAAATCTAGTTTTGGTCCTTCTATCAGTGATAGAGGATAATATGATATAAGCAGTCGTCTTAAAACTCCTATATGTAATTTATATATTTCTTTATAATTTTTACTAATAATATATTTTATTATATTTTTTACTTATAATATATTTTCGTTTTTTTCTGAAATTTTATAAGTTATCCCTTGACATAAAATCTAAGATTTAATCACTGTACATTTAATTTTACATCACCCCAAGAAAATGATCAGGGCTTCACATCTGGTCAAACATAGTAAGAAATGGGGATTTTAAGAAGAATACACATTAATATTTTAATCGGAATAGTTGACGACATTAAATATATGTAATAGCAGATGACATGGATTGAAATATAAGCATAAAATTCCATATTCGAATATTAACAGATATACCAAAACCATAATTAGACTTCAAAGTGCCACTGAATTTATAGAAAAGTGTCCCTTTTACCAAGTATATGGATAAAACATTTTTTTCAACCTGTAAACAAAAACTATGGAAGATTTGAAGGTTTTACAGCCAAAATTGCAGGGAATCAAACTGGTCTAACCAGCACGTTCATTTTCTGAAAAGTTGAAGGCGGCTGTCACCAAGCTGGAGAGAATATGAAGCTTTTTTGTATTCACCCCATGTGAAAGGCCTATACAGCAAAGGGCTATGGGGTGTGACCAGCTCTGGAGGGGCAGTGACTCTTGCATGGAGTGGTGGTGCCCCAAAATAGGCCATTGACATCCTTGGCTTGTTGATATTGGTCAGTGCTCTGTGCCTCACGCTCATGAATCTCCCATTGGTCATTGCCTACAAGAAATAAGAGTTAGTAGATCCAACATATAAGGACCTAAGTCTTAATTAAACCCTATAGAATTATTGGTAGATTCCAATTTATACTACCTTTACTTTGTTGCAAGTGATGATGGATTTATATTATTAGCTGACAAGTAAATTTAATATTAATTGATCATGATTTATAAGATTTTCATGCGACTCCGATTGGTTAATCTAAGAACCGTATAACAGTAAAAAATGATAAATATATATTTTGATGCATGAACTTGATCTCAAAGTTTATTATGAACTTAAGTTTTTTATGATCCGATTAAGTACATGAACTTAGCCTAAAGTCCAATTTGATATCTAATTTTTCCGTCCAATTGCGTACATGAACTTGATTTTTAATTAAAATCATTCACGGTTGAAGTCAAAATAGTCAAACTTAGGTACCAATTTGAATTAAAAAGCCAAGTTCATGTACTTAATTAGATAAAAAAGTTTAGTTACTAAATTGAACCTGAAATCCAAGTTTAAGCTCCTAATTGGACCAAAAATTAACTTAAGTATTAAACTGAACCTTGAAGCTAAGTTCAATACCAAAATTATATTCATCTTTAAAAAAAGAATTCATGCCATCAGCCCATCACTTCCATAACAACTACCAATATTATCGATTTAAACCCATTAATAACACTATGAAAAGTAAACGATCAAATTATAATTAAAAGGCTAAAACATAAATTCTAATATAATATAGGGAGTAGAACCATAATTAGACTAAAACAATATGTTCCCTCCACGAGTTCAAACCTAGAAATGCAAAGTACTTTTCAAGCTTGCGTTCAGTGTTCCCCCAACTCTGAAAATCTTATCACCTATGCAAAGATTGTTTCTAGAATATATATATATATATATATTGGTAACCTAACTGTCAGAAAAGTTGCATGATATCTCATAAGCAACTAAAAATGGTAAATACAGCCCAGCAAACCAGAAAATAAACCACAAACCCTTTTAGTGTTCATTGGATAGCAACTGATATGTGGGGCACTTTACTCTTTTATAGGACAGATTGTACAGTGGATTTCCGATGCATGTATCAGTTTCCATCAATCCATTATCATCCTTTTCTCTTCGGTGGGTCTCTTTAAATAAGGTTAAATAAACGAAATCGAAAAAACTAAATTCTATCCGAGTCCACTCGAGATATTACTACTGAAGGAGAGTGGAATACCTGTAAAACATCACCTACGTTGACACAAAAGGCAGTAGGGTCAGGGGGAACAGGGACCCAGACAGCATCGGCTACACGAATCTGCAGGCCGCCGACGTCGTTGGATCTCAAGATGGTCAAGATCTGAGGACTTGGCGTTGCAATGCAAAGCAGATAGTGCAGAAATACAAAGGCAACATATACCCCAAAAGAACCATAATTTCATTTCATGGTAAAAAGAGAAAGTGAAGTAATTTATTATGGGAATTCTGAATGGCCACAAGAAGAGCAAATTATAGTACTCATTTGCCATTTAAAGCATGGGATAATTGGGAGTTGAAGGTGATGTGGGATAATAAATGACAACATACATAACTCATCAACAACCTCACGTTCATGGATTCTTCATATTGATTAAAAATAAATTTATAAGTATATATATATATATATATATATATATATATAACTTATTCATAAACAATTAAACATGCATCATCATTCAAAGTACGAAGCAAACTTGAACGAAAGATAAAATAATGATTACCAGAACTTTTGGGGGTCACCGGAGATGGTAATGGAGCTCTGAGAAATGGAAAGAGGATTGGTATGAAGAAGAAGGTATTCAACTTCACCAATATCGCCATTGAAACCGATGTTCTTACGGCCATAGCCGTAAGGTACAGCCGGCCCGGCTCTTTGCTTTTCGACATCCGGCCTCGTAAAGAAGTTGAGACCTTCTTCTTCCATTGCCGCGATGGTTTCCTCCGACACTCCATGGTTGATCACCATGAAGAAACCGTACTCCTCGCAGGCTTTCGTAATGAGCTTTGCGACCTCTGTTCTCTCGGCCGAGAGGTTTATCACCGGAAGCTCTATGGCTTCCGGCTTTTCGGCTCGACTCGGGTTCGGTGAAGCCACCACCATAGCTACGGACTCCAAGCACAAAAACTTTTCTCCTTTTAATGGGGACAATAAACAGATTCTAATATATATATATTAAGAGGATTAAAAAAGAGCTGTAACAAGAAAGGATGGAACCGGAGAGAAATAAGACGAAGAGGAAGGGCAAAGGATGTGTTCTCAAAGATGTGCGAGTGTCTACGGTATTTATAGAAAAGATCATAGAATCTGAGAAAATATGATTAGTAAAATTACTTATATTTGATCATTTTTTTAAACTACAAGTAAAAAATATTAAATTCAATATAACAATTAAATATATTTAGAATGTCTTAACATTACAATTAAATTTAAACCTTATTGAAAAAAATCAGCATTTACAGTACTTATTCTTGTTATACCCTCGATAGTAATATAACACTAATATATCGGCATTCAGCCTATTTTGACTTTAGGGCTGAACAAATTAATTTTTTATATTTATTCTCTAACATAAGAGAACCTTCGCTTATTCTCTAAATATATGGGACTATTTCCAGTCATATGATCCTCACATTACTAGAGTACTCGTCTCTACAATCAAATATTCATAATTTAATTTAATAGTTAAAAAATATTCATAATTTAAGGTCTCGATTATTATAATACATGAACCAAGTAATTTTGGTGGTTAATAAATTATTGTTATTTTTTTAGATTTTGAGTTCGAGCACCAAGAGTAAGAGATATAAGCATAACGTCAAATGATTGAGAGAGTTATTTGAACAAATACTACCTTAAATTAGTTGTCACCGCCAATATTTATCGTTTTCCTTTATTTTTCTTTAATTTGTATATCACATCTTTGTTTTTTAAAAGTCTCATTTTCATATGTTTTAAGACATTTTTCTTACTTTTATGGTACATTTTCAATCGTTTGACTATTATTTCAATTTATCTTTTTTCTCGATATTGGATTTTATATTATCACAACTGATTAATATGTCATTTATTTGTTATCTTGTTGATCTTATTTGCTGTGGACTCTCGAATTAGATTTAGATATGTTATTTGTATTCGCGGATAATTTTTTCACGTTACACAATATTGATTTATAGTTTGTCAGTGGTCTTTCAATAGTTTTATCATCTTTTGTAGTTTGTTTGCTAATGCGGTCAGATCCGTTCGTATTTATTTTTTATAATTTTTTTTGTTAGAATTTTAATATTTTTCCTATATAATCATTGTATAATCTTAAATGACTATTTTTTATGTTAACGATTATAAAAAAATATCATAATTATATATTTAGTTTACGTTTGTAATTGTTAAATTTTCGTTATAATTTTAAATATATTTCTTTTAATAAAAAACTATTCGTTTCTATAAAAAAATGTTAAAGAGAGATCGTAACGACAAATTTTAAATCATAATAATTGAAATATAAACAACTCTAAACAATGTTTAATACACCACTTTAATAAACAAAATTATTTATTCAAAATAATTGAGAGAGCGAAGACTTATATGTATATAAATTAATAAAATATATAAAACACATTTTTCAACATCATTCGAGAAATCGAAAGGTTAGGTTAGGTGTAAAGTGAAGTGCAAGAAGCAAACTCCTGTCTCATAAAATCGTTGACTTTTTATAACTCTAGGATTGACTTTGAAAAAACGCCATTTTCTGTCTTAAATTAAATTAACTGTTATTTTAAACACAATTGAAACGTGTAACATTCTCATTAGGGCATTTTTAATAATAAAAAAGGGGTTAGATTTAGTTAAAGATTTTCAGTTTAATTTTATTAAATACAATTATTTTAATTTGTACAAATAAAGTTACATAAATGATTATAAATATAATTGTTATTCATATAGGTCTTAAATTCGAATATTAAAGATTGTAAGCGTGTTTGGGGTTTCATTGTCAAGTAATTAAAAATATTTAGAATAGATTTCATCTTACAATCACCGTAAATTAATCAAAATAAGTACGTGGACATTTTAAAAAACTGTGTATATTTAAAATGTTAGACAACAAATACAATTAATATTACTTAGGTATGAAAATCATCTTATGAATTTTTATTTAGATATATTTATAAATACAATTCTTTAAAATTTGAACCCTGAATTTCATATTAATCAAAAGTTAAATATACACGAGTCTTTTATCATTACACTTTACAAAAAATAGAGGTAGAATTTTGTCATTACTCCTTGTACTATAAATACATTAGTCAATCTTTTATTATCAATTTTAATCTATGTACTTTTTAAAAATTCGAAACTCAAATCTTGACTCAAGTAAATATTGAAACAATATGAGTAATTAAATTGAATGATGAAAACTAAATGTACAGCTTACGCATAATACATAAGTATTATGTAACCCAATACTTTAGCGAACATCGGTGCTCACAGGGAGCTTGGTTGTTCCAGCTTCCAGAATCCACCCAGTGAAACCCAACGCATTCTCACCGCTGACCAAGCTGGGATGAGAAGAAGACCAGCTCACTGTTAATGCAGTGGCCACTCTTTTGTAACCAAAAAAAAAATTCATAGATATTATTTGTATCAGAGCGGAAATTATATTTTTTATAAAATAAAGAGATTAAAACTTACTAAATTAAAATAGAAGACCTAAAATTTATAACTTTTGTATAATACATAGATTAATAGTATAATTTGACAAAAAATAGTATGTGATTTTATTAAACATATATTTGTAATTATAAATACAATTGCAAATGAGGCATCGGATGGAATGTAATAGTATACATGCATGCATCCTATATGCATGTAATTTTGACAAAGTAAAATAAATAATTATGTAAAATATATTCTTTTTTACATCTAAGTATATAAAATACTATTTCGATCAAAATAAATACATAAAATTACAAATTTTTATTTAGGAATATAATTTTTTTTATAAAAATAAATAACTAAAATATATTACCATTTTTATCTAAATAAAAATTGTATACCTTATATATCTACTTTGTCATCAACTTTTATGAATGTATATGAAAATTTTATATCTACTTTAACTAAAAAATAAATTAAAGAATTCAATAAAAAATTAAAACTTTTTTAAATACTTAAATGAGAAGATATGATATTTTCTACGTACCTATTTAAAAAAAAAACCAAATGGGAAAAAGCTTAGTTTAGAATATGGACCCCGGCCCAAAAAGTGGAAACATAATACGCAATGCATCATCGAGCTTTAACCCACCACCGACCATTACCTTTGTCCTCGTCTTTGCCATTGCCTTGACCCCTTAAATGGATAAAATCATGTTTAATTCCCTTTAAAATTTATAAAATTATTTATTAGTACATGTTAAAATTTCATTTTTGACATCCTAGAATGATAAACTTATGATTTAATCTTTTAATTTTTTTTAAATTAAAAGTCAATACAATATTAAAAATACATTTAGACTCATAAAAAATTATAATTTAATCTCAACTTTTCTAAAAAATCATACTTCACGTCACCAAATAAATAAGGAAATTAAGAACGTCAACAACTGAATTATTCTCTTTTTGTTATTTAATTTGGATAAATGAAATTCATGGGCTCTGCTTTAATGGGTGATACGTTCCTATCACCTTTTTTCAAATCAATAACATAAAATTTGATAGAAGGAAAAAGAAATCCCTTTCATGGTTGCCTATAAGCATTAATTAATGATATTTAGAATTCTATTTTTAATAATATATTTGCATATTATTGCATTGAAATGAATGCCAAAGCATGAAGACTTCCTAATTGTACGAAAAGTATGGAATTTTGATAAAAGAAAACGATAGGTTAGGAATTATATAACACTAATTAAGAAACGAGGGAAGAGTCAACAAAGAGATAATGTTTCTTTTTCATCCACTTTGAAAAATAGAAAACCATATATATATCTTAAATTATATAAGATATTTTAAAATTTAAAATTATACATTTCTAAACTACTCCTTAGAGGGCGTTTGGATGGGGGAATTTAGGATTCCCATGGGAATGGAATCTACATTCTCCCGTTTGGTTAGCCGGGAATCTCATTCCGGTAATGTAAGATTACCAATAGTGGATTTTTTTAGGTATATTACCGGGAATGTCATTACCTCCCTTTCTTTAGGTATTGTTGGATTACCGACGTTTTGGACTAAAATGCTCTTAAAAAAATTCTCAAAAATATCATTCTTCTGTCATTGAATAATAAAAATTCTACGAATATTAAATTACAAATTTATCATTAAATTATTTTAGATTAAAAAAAAATCTATAATTAAAATTTTATATGAAGTTCAGGGGTTAAAATAAAATTTTACCCTTTCATTAAACCTTTTTATATTTTCAATTTTGTAAAAAAAATTGTATGAATTTTATGAAATTAAATTTTTTAAAGAAAATATATAAATATTTTCCAACTTGTTAAAAAAACAAATATATAATATGGACAATTTGGTTAAATATACATTCCAATAATCTTTTATTCATTTAACCAAACACGATAATCTTACATTCCTGCTAAACCAACCAAACACAAAATACAATATTCTCAGTAATCTTATTCCTTGGTAATCTTACATTCCCACTGGTAATCTTGCATACCCACTGGTAATCTTACATTCCGTGAACCAAACTTAGTGTTTATAATCTGACTTCTTATATAATTCAACTAAAAAATATTGTAGTGTGAACTAATTAGTGAAAAGTAAATTAAAATAAAATCAGATATATTATGGATCTAGAAGATTGTATCTACTTTGTATACGACTATAATTCTTTCATTAAAATGTCGATTAAAATTAAAAATTTGCTTAAACTACATTTTTAATACGAACTTTTGTAATTAAATAATTATATCATTTAATATATATTATGGATTAATGTTAGAATTAAATTAATTATTTAAGTCGCTCAAAACAATCATCTTGTCTTATTTAACATTATAGAGAATTCTCTTCTTTGCCACAATTTTTTTTCCTTTTGCAATTTTTCATGTAAAATATGTTTCTCTTTTCTATCGTGCAATCACTTATATTTATCCTTATAATCCAATATAGAATAACTAGGGATGGGCATATGTGTTAGACTTGACGGGTTCCAACCTATAAGATCAAGTTTTTTTTTTTAAATCAGATACCTGTAAACATGTTTTTTAAGGATAAGGTCGATTATGATTGAATTTAGGTTTAAGATAAAAAAAATACACGACCCACAAATAATAGTATATTTGCATTTTTATATTTATGGATAATTTGTGGAATACACATCTCTCGACTATATTTTTTCAATTAGGTCTCTCGACTATGATCATTTCTATTTTCTTTGTATAATCATTGATTTTTTATTTGTTAATCAACTAATCCGGATTGAATACTGCAGAAGCAATGACAACTCTCTCAACTTAGTTTACTCCATTCGCAAATTCTAAGATTCGAACCATTTATCTTGCTTAAGAGATCTAGTGTTTAGTCCCACTGGACCAACTAGTTCTTGGTATTATGATTATTTTTATTACTCAATCTTGATATATACAAAATTTAATAGTTATTTTATGATTTTTGAAAATTCAATTATTTTTCCTTTTGAATTAAAAGAGGGCTAAGGAATTATAAAGATAGCCTCGCACGAGGGGGACCGTGAATATCCCTAGAAAGTAGTGGCAACATAGATAAAGGAGGAGCTTCATACTCCTTTATAAAGAAAGTCGATCTATCTATCAACTTTGCCATAACGTCCGCCTCTGCGTCGTTTATTTCCCTTAGAACTCGTTGAAAGGATAGTTCCCAGTCAGCTGAAAGCATCCGATGAATGTCTCGAGCAAGTGACCGAGGATTTGAAGTTGCATTTATGTTGTGATGATCGTTTAAATATTTAAACTATTATTTTATATCAATTTATAAAATAATTTAATAAAACTGTAACATATGACATGTTTTTATTGATTGTTGTTTATATTTTGAGGAAAAAAAAAGTAACATACGGTATGTTTTTATTGATTACCGTTAATATTTTGAGGTAAATAAAATAAAATGATCATTTAAATATCAAATTAGTTTAGATGATAAAATGCGGAAACGGTATAACTCGAAGGCTAAATTATACATTAAGCCTTTTGTGAAAATAATAACGAAAGGAAATATCCATATCAACCCAACAACACTTATAAACAAAGGAAAAAGATCTTTGATGTACTTCTTTTTAATTTTATTTCCTTGAATCAAAGAATATTCTTATGGAAAATTTATCACATTAAAAAATTTAATATTTAAATATTTTTTATGTTTATATATGTTATTATTATTTATAGATAATCGTTAGCCGATAATTGAAATTAAAGCTTGTTCTATATGATTATAGTCCCATGTTAGTTGAGATGAGTCTTCAACGTCTTTATCTGAAGGAAACATCTAGAAAATGATATGGGTGTGAAAATTGGGATAAAAAAATCAAAATATATTTGTAAATCGTAAGAAAGAAAAGCAAAAACTATATTTGTCAAATAGAAGATTAGTCAACATATTTGACCTTTCCACCTCTAATTAAATATTGACACCCAAACATTATCATGGGAAAAAATCGAGAAATCAAATTGACTTGTATGGTTCGAGGTTCACCCGTTTAAATTAAGCTTTATTTATAGGGTAAAGTATACAAATGGTCCCTCAACTATAGGGTGTCACTTTAGTGAGTCTCTTGACTATTAAAAGTTACAAAATGATCATCTGACTATTCATATGTTTCAAAGTCGTCATTTTCTGTTTAAAAAGTCGACAATATGAGCTGGATGTTAACCTACTGATTGAGATATGTTAAAAATTTAATCTCAAAATCTCAAACCGACTATCGTATCTTAGCCAACATATTAATGCCCAGTTTATACCACCTCATTTTTTTTTTACAGAAAAAGGATGAGTTTAGCAACATCATATAATTAGAGGAGCATTTTGTAACTTTTTATAGTTGGGGAGCTCAACAAAGCAATATCCTATAGTTAGAGGAACATTTGTGTACTTTACCCTTATTTATATATATATATATAATATAAAAATGTGTTAGGATCCGTAGCACAATGCAATTTTTTTTAGTTTTACACAAATTTAGGACTGTTCGACGGGTAGAAATAAATGGCAGAGATTAACTTATTGTGTTTTCTCCCGGTAAATATCTTCTTATTTTATACTGTTAATCTCAGTCATATATTTTCACTTATCCAACTGTTCGAAAAATGTGTAAAACTAAAAGAGTATTACATTGTGTAATATGATCATATTCCTATAAAAATAAATATCTTATATTTAAAATAGTAAAAGTGACGTGAAGCATTATATATATATATATATATATGAAAATTTATTTTTAAAAATATTTATAAAAAGCTTAAATTTTATAAAATAATGTGAAAAATATATAAAACATTGATATTTTATTAAAATATTTGCTAAAAACATATATTTTATTAAATTTTATCAAATGTAGGATTTATTCATTGTTGGTGTGTGTGGCTTTGTACATTATTAAATATTTGCTTCTACCCAAAGAAAATTGTTGGCTAGCCCAGATCCAGATTTTCCTTGGCCCATACAAATATATCATTTTTATTGACAACTTCATGCTAAAAAGGGTTAAATTGAAAAACTAATTTCTAAGAGGGATCAAAATATAATTTAACCATTTTACAGAAAGAGATACAACTCCTATATATTTATATGAATTCAAATAGTATGTCTTATTTGTTTGTCTTTAATTTTATATAGAATTATTAATATTTAAAATTTTGTCATTGTCGAAGAAAAAATTGAACATATATCAACATTTAAAATTAATTTTGAAAGGTATTTTTTAAAGAATATATCATTATAAGTATTCAAATTTATGATAACCTAAGATATATCTTAACAATTCATTAGATTAAATCTAATACGTTGAGAGAAGGTAACAAGTGTGCGGATTGCCTGGCGAACAAAGCCCTTTACCAAGAAGAAGATCTCGTTACTTTGGCCGACCCCCCGGACTTCCTGTTGCCTCAATTATCAGTTGATGCCAAGGGGGAGGGTGTCCTAAGACTGTGATTCTAGCTTAGTAAATCGGATGTACCCAAAAAAAAAAATCTATATCAGACCGTCACATAAAAAAATTTAAACAAGAAACTTCAAAAATATATGTTAAAAACAAGGTTTAACAAAAAAAAAAACCTAAAATCGTTTAGAATGGTTAGAGTTCAATATGATATTGATTTTCTTTATATATAATTTATATCATATAAAAAATAAATATAAATAATGTACATATTTAAAAATAGGTTAACTTTTTTCTTATTTAAAAATTTAATAAAATTGATTGAATTTTAATTTAATTGATATCCTTTAAATGTCATAAATTTAAGTACAATTATATTCGATTTAGAAATTCACGAAAATTATAGATAATTTATGTTTTGTATTGAAAAAATCGAAAGAAAAGCATATAATGATAAATATTTATAAAAATATATATATACACATAATAAGTATTAAATATAAAAAAATAAATAACATGGATGAGTCTAATTAGATTTAAGTTGTAGTCAGTATTCAAGGTTGTGCCTTGATTTTTATTTTGTCTAGTTGAAAAAGTAAATTTATGTTTACGATGGATTCCATCCAACTATAAATATATATCCAGGGTTTTTTACTTTATGCGACATTGTGACGCATTTAGATTTGTTGTTGTGCATTTCTTACAATATCTTTTGTATTTAACAACCGACATCGTTAATCTTTTTCTTCTTTGCCCATAATCTTTTCTGAAATCATTTTCCACTTAAAATATGTACGCTAGTTCTTTCCTTCTTATCATTTCGTAACTGATTACTTTCTTATCCATAATAATCATTTATAAATATGAGTGGGTTTGAATAATATTTAAGATTAATATTCTAGGTCAAATTTAAATAACTATTATCATAATATTGTTCACATCATAGATAAACTTAACTGAGATCAACTCATGAACACTTTTACAAATATATACTGTTATTATTAAAGATAGATTGACGGAAGAGTGAGTGAGATTAGTTGTATTTCTGAAATTTTATATTATCATGTATTTTATTTATATTTTTTATTGATAATTTATTTTTGTCATCTAAAATTTTATAAGATACTCTTTATCATAAAATCTTACGTCTATCTCTAGTATGATCTAAATTGTTTAAAAAAAATATTTTATAACGAGGACAAAAGGTGAGTGAAAAGAAAATGAAATTGGTTAAGCAATTCTCACTGTACGTAGGGTAAATCCATCAATTTTTCCGCACAGAGACACGGACAGACAGAAACAACTTCAATAATTAACAGTAATACACAACAATAATGAATATATACATACACGTACACGTACATGTGTATATGCGTTAGGATATAGTACATTAATTAACACTAGACAACAAGTCACGAGGAGAAAGAAAGAAACAAGTCTTACACACACTACAAATCTCAGAGAATATTTACTTATATTCTTCTCTCACTTACACACCCAGAAACAACATGTAAAACAACGAAAACAAATGCCTGCAAAAAAAGCATAATTGTCTCTGCACATACAATAACAAATCCAGTTCATGGTGGCCTTCAAGCACTTAACCCTAAACAGGAAAGTGAGAGCTTTTATTGTTCTTAATAGTAATAATAGTAATTTTACAGCTCAGGAGGGATAGACAAGAAAGGTGAAGGAGAGATTGGAAGCAATGGGGTGGGAAAATAGGGTGATTCTGCTATAAGGACAAGCACTGGATTGGGTGGTATAAGGTCACCTAAAGGTCTTACAAGGTCAAGAAGAATATATATATATATATATATATATATATATATATATAATTAATTAAAGAAGGAATAAAAGAAAGCTCAGGTAGGATAGCACCAAATTAAGATGAAGAATCCACTGTCACATAGGAGTTCCCATGCATCAGTCCTGGCTGACCTGCAATGGGAAAAAAGAAAAAATATTAGAAAAATTCATTCTAATGTGTGTATGTATAAGATGATAAGTATGCTTGTGCTCCCATACACTGTGGAAGCATGTGGTTTGGTTTCTTGTTGCTTGAAAGCTTTTCTTTTTCCTTTGCTTCCATGGTTTGCATGGAGAAAGAGAGGGTAAAGGAGGATGATATAAAGCACAGGGAAAGATAAAAATGATCTGAAGAGTGAGAGATGGGGTTAGGCTTTATATAAGAGCCAGAAAAGGGAGAGATTTCATGTGCACTGTTCATCCAGTCCCCATGGAGCCAGTACGTGGCGGCATTATGTCCGTTGACTCAGCATTCATATGCGATTTTAGTATATTTATTCTAATAAATCGTCTATGTTATATTGTATTATATTATAAATAGAGCCTCGAGTGCAGAGGGCGTGCGAGCAACGAAGGCATTTCCATCAGTCACCTAAGAAAAATTTGGCCAAAGAATATATATACCATTACCTTCTCCGATTCATTGGCCGGTGTTCTTCATTAATTAATGGTTTAGGGTTTAAAATGAAGTTGTTTCTTTCACCATGACTAGATAGAGAATCAATCATTGAAATTAGATTATACATGTACGTAGGTAGGCACATTGGAGATGCATGAAGCTGTTGCATTAGGCAGCAGCAAAGGGGTTTTGTCTATATCAGATTGGGGAAGTTGATGTGAAACATGAGACCCTGAATTGTATGCGTCAAGCAACCATGTTTGGACAAGGAATCACTTGAAACTACTAAGCGACATCCACTACTCACAAATGAAATCATTGGCAGATATTTGCAAATCATGCACCAACATGATCGATCAATGAGTAACATTCCTTTAATGACGGCCGGAGAATGACTTCCGCTATAAGACTTCTTAACCAAATCAAGAAACCAATAATATCCAAGATAGCCCAAAATGTTTCAACGGACTTGTTTAAATCGATATCGAGACCTAATATCAATAATAAAGATGCCGCAAAGACCACCATTGCACCAGCTTTCCCAAATTTCAAGTCAAAAACAGCATCACAATTGAGGTCTTATACTCTGATTTAAGAGTATTCACGGGTTCTATTGATATTTGATAGCATGCTTCTCTTGTTCTGAAACACATTGCTCAATCCTTGAAGTATCCCATCTCCCATCTTTTCTAAGAATATCAGCTACTGTTTTTGGTAAAAGAGGATCAATGATATCTCAATGATATCTGAAGGAGTCAGTTTGTCACCTTCAATACCAGGGATCCATTTATCTTCCCGCAGCTTCTTCTAGGGATGGACAAAGAGAAACGGATGAGAGCAGCCGCCTCTTTAAAATTCCAAATTAATATATATCTTAAAATTTTCTATTAATAATATATTTTCACCCCTAAAATTTTATATTTAATGACATCCTAAAATTTTAAAAAATTATCCCATCTAACGTAAAATTCGCATGCCTTCCTCCAAGAACATCTTTGCAACAACTATTCTACTACAAGTCTAGGCTCTAGATTTGAACTCTAGATGTGTAGGTGCATATTATCTTGAAAACAATTTCATCTTGATCGATATAATTGTTTGATGAAAAAAATGATTTTTTTTTCATTCATGGTACATGCAAGTCTAACTTGGAACTTGTGGTGGTATTGGAGAAGGCCCATATGAGAGAAGAAAAGGAACAAAAATCACTGCAAAGATTCTTGCGGACAAAATAGTTATTAATTCAAACTCTCGGTTGCTTGCAATTGGTGGTCCCACCTACAATATAGACTATACAAACATCAAGGGACTTGTACATGGCATTTTCCCCATCACTCGTACCGGTGAATATGTTTTCTTGGCATCACACAAGCAGGTCTTAGCGTACCATCGGAGAGTCGAGTGTGGAAGGAAATGTTCTCCGAGAAGAACAGCGATGCCCTCCCGTTGTGGTTCTCGGTGCATGTATTTTGGAGCACAATCTTACCGTGCGAGTAAAAGGTGTGTGGTGAAACTATAATAAACTGTTTGCAATCAAATAACTCATAAATTTGTCACCTAAATCGAACAAACCGAAATTAAGAGTAGTCGGAAATTTAAAGTCGCAGCTGCTGCAGTGTCGCTCGCAGCAAGCATCTGTACAATGCCAGAAATGCCAATGCCATTATCTGGAAAGAAAAAACTCAAACTACCGGTTCTCACAAGGTTTCCATGAGACAGAGCCGGTTCAAGTCGAGTGGACTCGCTTGTTAGGCTGAGAAACCTGACCGATGTTTATCTGCAAGAATTTTGTGGTTCAAAATGCACAACGTTCAGCCTTCTCTGATCGAATGTATTAACCACCCGAGGCTAGGCAACAGGTACATTTCAGTCACTCGACATGAGTATCTTTTACATTGTCATCAACGGTTCGCAACGTATCCGCCTTGACCCGAAAAGAATCCTAGCCGAACACATTCTCATCTGCTACCTAGAATATCATCCAAAATGTGAATGGGTCCCAAATGGCCTAAGTTGTTAAACAAACATTGGACTAAAACATGCCATGTTGCAACATTGGGACATATCCCCTCATTTATCATCTTATTAAGGTAACTGATAGCCACTTCTATATCAACCCAATTACAGAGGCCCCATATAAGACTGGTGTATGAAATTACGTCCGGACACCAATCATCCCCAGCACGAGTACGATCCAAAAGTTTGACAGCGATCTTCACCTTACCCTTCTTACAGTAGGTAAATATTATTATGTTATATGTGAACGCATCAGGTTTTATACCTCGAACCAGCATTTTCCCAAAATGTTGCAAAGCATCCTCTAACATACCGGCATGACAAAATCCAGACAAAATGGTATTGTCAGTGACTAAATTCCATTCAATTCCTTTTTCTTCAATCTCCCGCATAATCCCAAACGTCTCTTTTAGCCTATTTACTTTGAATAGACCATCGAGCAGCTCATTATATGTTATGATGTTAGGAACGCAACCATAATGCTTCATTTCGTCAAGTGCTTTCATTGCCCAATCAACTCTTCCGTTACTACATAAACCTTTGATAAATGCATTGAAAGTGACTGTGCTCGGAGTGCAGTTTTCCAACACCATCTTCTCTATAAGAGAATGAGCGCAGTCAAACATAGAATGCCGGCAAAGGACATCCACCATGCTTGTATATGCTACAACGTTGGGATGACAACCATTGGACATCATTCTATTCCATGTTTCAGATGCACCAGCCAAATCACCGACCTTTGCGAATCCATTAATAAGAGAGCTATATGAGACTACATTTGGAGGCCAGCCATTTTCCTCCATCTGATAGGATACAGATATAGCCTCATCGACCTTCCCATTTGAGCAGAGACCGTGTATTACAGTGTTATAGAAAACAGTATTTGTTTCAATTCCCTCTTGAACCATCCGGTTCCAAAAGTCAAAAGCTTCATGAACCCTTCCTGCCTTGAAATACCCCTTCATCAACGAAGAGAACGTGTAGATATTAGGGCTGCACCCTCTCACAAACATCTTGGCAAAAAACGTAAGTGACAACTCAACGTTTCTCACACTCGAAAGGGAACTGATAATCATTGAATACGATCTAACATCAGGGTCTAGTCCTTCAACCAACATTTCTTCAAACATATCTAACGCCTCCTTAAGCTTGTATTCTACACAATATCCACTTATCAATGCATTATAAACACTCACATACGATCTAAATCTCCTCACAAGCCCCCTAGCTTCATCAAGCTTACCAAGCTTACACATCGAAGAAACTATAGTGGCGTAGCTCATAGCATCCGGAGAATAACCCACGCTTGCCATTTCATTCAACAACTTACAAGCACTATCTACCTTGTCATTCATACACAAAGCTTTCAAAAGAATATTATAAGTAAGCAAATTCGGCTCCAAACCATCTCGCTTCATATTACCGTATATCGGATTAATCATCAACAACCGATTCTCGCTCAGCAATGCATCCAAAACACGGTTATAAATCTTAACTGTCGGCTCACAACCGAATTCCTTAATCCTATAAAACATTTTCAAAGCTTGTTCAACTAAACCCTTTTGGTGATAAGAATCAATCACAATCACAAACAAGTCCTCACTACAGCTAATCCTTTCTAACTTCATCTGTTGTAAAAGATATTGAATACCATCGATTTGGGACTCTAGTGCGAGCTTCTGGATCATGCATTGGTATGTTTGTGGTGTGTGTTTGAAGGAATTTGAATTGGCTATGGATTTGAAGTAATTTAAAGCTAAAGAAATGTTGAGTTCTTGTTTTAATGTGCTGAGAACCTGGGATTCTTCGAGTTGGGTTTGGTTTTGGTCGGATTGGGGTTCTTTGTCGGGGTTTAAAACTGGGTTTGTGTTCAAAATAAATGGGATTGAAGGTTTCTTCACTTTCAGCAATAGGGAGCGGCCTTCTCTTAAGTACATGATTAAGAACTAAACCTAAAAATTTTCCAGTTTTTGGATTCAGGGAATCGAAAATTAAACTAGAAATTTGAAAAAAAAATAAATAAATTGAACTGGCTGACCTTACAAGAAGAGGGAACAATCTGGTTTCAAGTGTTTGGCTTGGAATTGCAGAAAGACTAGAACTGAAGAAGACAAAGGAATCTATTGTAGAGAAGTACGGATGGTATTTTATGTTATTTAGAAACAGCAAGGGGGAGTAATCGGAATTATAGAACAATACAGGGTTGTAAGGAACAAACTATAGAAAGGGTTAACCTAAACCTATAAAAAAGTCCTTAATTTCTTAACCTTATCCAAACTAATTCCTAAATTTCAAAATGTTTCAATTAAATCGTCAAATTAAAGTATCAAATCATGTTTTTTATTAATATATTCATTAATTTTTACTAAATGCCAATTTTTTTTGACAAAACCTTAAAAGCCAATTTAAATATGATGTAGATTAAAAATAGATATTAATCTGTGTTTAAATAGGGGGCACATCAGTTACAACGATAATTTAATTTAATAATTTAATTAAAATGTCTTAGAATTTAAGGAGTAATTTAAAATTTAGTTTATAATTTCGAGATATTTGGTACTATTAAAACTTATAAATATATAAAATTATTTTAAAATTTCCTTATATATGAAATAAATTTTTACTTGATCCGAGCATTTAAAGTTAGTATTTTTAAAATTTAAATTTGGATTATGAAATATAAAGTTGGATATGGTCAATCAAATTTATGATAAAAATCTTCAATTTGACTTGAGAAAGTAATATAATTTTTTTATATTTAAGATAGTTACACTAATATTTTTTATATATTTTTTACATCATCTTGCTATTGTACTAAATAAAAGTAAGAAAAAAATATTTGTATAGAATCAAACAAGTTTTTAAACTCTGTTGTTTAAAATTTAAATTTTAAGGCACGATGGGACCTCTCTGGGCGCACATTAGCAGGACTAATGGGCTATCGGATTTGTTTCTATGGTGCTAATTGTTGCTTCTTGATTGCTGATTTTGGGTGCTTTCGTCTCAATTTCGTTTCAATTTTGATGGAATCGTTAAATTCTGAGCTTGATTGGAGGAATCTTTTCAATGGAACAAAGGAACATGCCCTAGATTTCTTCCCGCCTGAAGTCTCAGAGGGGATTTATACTGTCAAGCCTCCGTCTGCTGTATTCGAGGAGGTGATTGTTGAATGGAGTCACGCTGTGGTAGGCCAATTTATCGGAGCCCCTACAAATTTTGGATCAATGCAGAGGATTGCTGAGATTTTATGGGGAAAGCTTTCGTCGGTCAAGGTTATCTTAGCTGGATCTAACATTTATGTTTTTTCGTTTTCGAATGTTGATATGAGGGATTGGGTTTTGGAGAATGGCCCTTGGCACATTCAAAACAAACCCCTAGTATTAAGGAAATGGGAACCGAGCTTAAAGAAATTGGACTTTGATTTCAAGCATATACCAGTGTGGATTCAACTTTATAACGTTCCTCTTGAGCTTTTTTCTAGAAGAGGCCTTAGTTATATTGCTAGTGTTGTTGGGGTTCCTTTATATATGGACTCTGTAACTGCCTCGAAGGAGAGACTGGAATTTGCCAAGGTATGTGTAGAGGTTGAGGCTGGGATAGTGATTCCAGATGTGGTCAATGTAGTGTTGTAGGATGGCTCTTTAGTGATAATCCGAGTCTATGCTCCTTGGCTCCCTAAATTTTGTACTCAGTGCAAAATCTTTGGGCATTAAGCCATTTCATGTGGTGAGGGAGCCAAAGCTAAGGGGAAAAATAAGGATACTCTGATTTGGAGGAGAAAAGAGAATCCAAACCCTATTTTTTCTAAGAAGATATACAAAATTGCTAATACAGCAGTTAACTTGCCTATGAACTCTAGTGGTACTGTTACACAGAGTGGTGAGGTGCCTATGCCTTTATCTTCAGAGCTGAAGGTTGGTGATGCCGAGGAGCTGTCTGTACATGCTCTTCAAGAATGCACATGAGATATTGTGCAAGAGATAGTTAGAGGTGATGCCGATCACTCTCAAGATCTTGAGAAGGTTGTTCCTGCTTAAAGTTACAACAGTCCGTTGACCGAGATGGTGAGGGCCTGACAGGGGTTGTGGCTGAGATGGCTCTGCCTAGAGTGATTCAGGAGAACACTAGTTGTGGAGAGTTTCCTTCCCTGCAAGATTCTTTACTTCAGAAGAAGAAGACTCATGGAAATAAAAAGGCAAATGCAGGCTCATCTACTTGTAGAAGATGGTGCTGCTTATGGCAATAGGAAGACTAGGACATCTTCCTTGGGGGTTGCATTGCTCCTAAATGAGATTAAAACTAAGAAGAAAGAACACATGGAGAGGGCTATAGAAGCTGGGGTTAATTGTGTTGCTAGTACTGGTGGCCCTCCCATCACTAACAGATGATCATAAGTTTCTAGAATGTTAGAGGGCTTAATAATGGGCTCAAGCAAGGCAAAGACTTTAGAAGATTGGAAAATTTAGAAGTAGATGTATTATGTTTCATGTAAACTAGAGTTAGAAGTGTTAACTTTCCTAGATTTGCTGAAGCATTGGCTGCTGACTGAAGTTTAGCATATAACTATGAGTTATCAGATGGAGGTAGATTTTGGGTTCTATGGAAAAAGAGGCTAACCTTCTCTGTTCTAAAGAAATGTGATCAGGTCATCTCAATTGTTAGTGATGTGGCTAGCCATAGGATTGTTATTACTACTGTTTATGGCAGCAACAATAGCCTGGTTAGGAGAGGCTTATGGGTGCATCTTAAGAGCTTGGAATCTGATGTTGGTTCCTCTTCTTGAGGGGTTGGGGGAGATTTTAACATCTTTGCCAAAGCTCAAGAGAGTTCTGATTTTAATGTTTTGGGTATGTACAACACTTCTGACATAGAGGAATTTAAAAAGTGCTTGGTGGATTTGGAGCTTCAAGATCATCCATTCATTGGTCCACTTTACACTTGGTCCAATAAACAAGAAAATTCCTTCTTAGCTCGAAAGTTAGATAGAATCTTAATAAACCCTCAATGGTTGTTTGAGTTTCCAGAATCAGCTGTGGAATTTAAAGCTTAGGGTGTTTCAAACCACTATCCTAGGATTGTTTGGACTCAGAAAAGGGCTCAGGTTCATAAGCCTAAGCCGTTCAAAATTTTTAATTGTTGGACTGCAAATGAGAACTTCTTGAGGGTTGTTAAAGATTCTTGGCAGAAGCAATGTAGGGGTAATGCTATGCAATTACTTTTTAGCAAGATGAAGAGATTAAAGCCAATTTTAAAGGAATTAAACAGAAGCTATTTTTCTGATATTTCTGGCAGAGTAACTATTAAGAGGACTGAACTTGAATCAATTCAACTTTACAACCTTGTTCAAGTGGATCAAAGGAGACTGGATGAGGAGAAGAAACTTCAAGCTGAATTAGTAGCCCTTGAAGAGGCTGAATCTGAATTATATAGACAAAGAGCTAAGGTCCACTGGCTCCAAGAAGGTGATTTGAATACTAGGTTTTTTCATCAGAGAGTGGAAGTAAACAAGAAGAGAAACACTATTAAGGTTATTAAAGATAATAGTGGAATTGATCATAAATCTTTTGAGGATATGGCAACCAAACTGGAGAATTTTTTCAAAGATCTTATTGGCACCGCTAACCCTAGGGTGAAGGGTTGTTCTGCTGAGTGTCTCAAATCTTTCCTGAATTACTCCCTACCTACTGGTGTTGAGGATATTCTTACTGGTAAGATCACTAATATTGAGATCAAGGATGCATTGTTCAGGCAAGGAAATAATAAAAGTCCTGGACCTGATGGTTACACCTCATGATTCTTCAAGACTGCTTGAGAGGTTGTGTGCAATGACTTCCTAAATGCTGTAAGATACTTCTTTCATACTTCCACTCTCCTGCCTGCCTTTAATGTCACTGTCATAGTTTTAGCTCCTAAATCCTTAAATGCATGCATGGCTAAGGAATTTAGACTCATTTCTTGTTGTTCAGTGATTTACAAGACAATCACTAGAATATTGGTCACTAGATTAGCTTTGTATTTCCCTGGTATGATCTCTCCTAACCAGTCAGCATTTGTTAAGGGTAGAAACATAGTTGAAAACACTTTGCTTGCCTAAGAAATTGTTAGGGGATACTATAGGAAAAATCTTTCTTCTAGATGCACCATTAAGATAGACTTACAAAAAGCCTTTGACTCAATTTGCTGGGATTTCTTAATGACTGTTTTGAAAGCTTTGAGACATCCTGAAGTATTTTGTGGATGGATAAAAGCTTGTATAACTACCCCTAGTTATTCTATCTCTTTGAATGGAAGCTTGGTGGGATATTTTAAGGGTGCTAGGGTATGAGACAAGGGGATCCTCTATCCCCTTATCTCTTTGTTATTGTTATGAATGTTCTATCTTCTCTGCTGGATGCTGCAGCAAAGAATAGTGTTTTTAGATTCCATCCTAAATGCAAAAGAATACCCCTTACTCACCTATGTTTTGCTGATGACTTGCTTCTGTTCTGTCATGGGTCTTTGGATACTATGTTGGGGGTTGTTAGCACTCTTGAAAAGTTTTATGAACTCTATGGTCTTAAGCTGAATGCTTCGAAAACTGAGTTGTTTGCTTGTGGAGTGGCTTGGGATGAGCTAGAACTGATCCAAAGAACTACTAGTTTTAGGATTGGCCATCTTCCTGTTAGGTACTTAGGGGTGCCCTTGGTTACCCGTAAGCTCATAAGTAAGGACTGCTCAGCTTTACTTGTGAAAATTAAAGAGAGGATTGACAAATGGTCTAGTAAGAAACTCAGTTTATTTGGTTACTGATGTCTGTGAAGTCTGTCATGTTCAGTTTATTTGGTTACTGATGTAGGCTGTTTATATTGCCTAAGGGGGTCATAAGATATATTGAGAAGCTCTGCTTGAGGTTTTGTTGAAACATTTTGATATTTCGATATAACAAATTAAGTTAAATGGATTTTAAGATTTTCCAAATGATTTTCTAAGTATATTCGATATAACTATTCGAATATCAAAACATTACTCCAAATATTTCAAAAATCATTTTTAATCCTTACTTAAGTGTAAAATTAAGTTTTAATCATAAAACAATTTCAAAATAATTTTACAAAGTATTTCGAACCAATTCAAAGCCAAAATTTCCAGATTGCTCAGAGGGAACCGATTCCCCCCATAGGAGGAACCGATTCCCCCCTGAATGGTTTGGCTCCGAGAATTCCAGTATGCTCGGAGGGAATCGATTCCCCCCAAGGGGGTACCGATTCCCCCTTGTACAACGGTCTAAATATTTGAATTTTACACTTAGGGAACCGATTCCCTATGAGGGGGAACCGATTCCCCCACGCTCCAAGCTGTTTTATTAAATGTTTTCACACTAAAACGGCTATAATATCTTCTCTAATCATCCCCAACGTTCAGAAGTGATCCAAGGTGTATTTAAGCAAGCTTAGAAGCCATTGATCAATAACAAGAAACATCAAGCAACTAGAATCAAGAGAGAGTCAAAGAGAAAGCATCAAACCTCAAGTTTGAGCATTTCAAGCCTATTTTCATTTAATACTCATTTTGCTTTCAAGAACACTTTTTGTGCTCAATTGTATTCATCTTTGAGTGTTCTTTTCTTTGTTCTAGAATTGTGCAAACATCTTACCTTGTGAGGTTTTCTTGTAAGTTTGCAAATTTGTAATCTTCTCTTTGAGAAAAGAGTGTTCTCAAGAGTTGGGGTATACTCTTGAGGGAATTGTAAGGTTATCTCTTTGGCCTCAAAAGAAAGAACAAATTAGTGAATTTGTTGGAAAATCCTTAGTGTGGATAGCTAAGGTAGTGGACGTAGACTTTGTTTGAGAAAGTCGAACCACTGTAAATCGCTGTGCAATTACTTTCAATTTTCTGCAAAAGCTTCCACAAAATTTTTATTGCCAATTCACCCCCCTCTTGGCCAATTTCGTCATTCGATTAACTCAACAATTGGCATCAGAGCCTAACTCATTTGAAGGTTTAATCGCCTCTTGAGTCGATCCGGGAAGAGTTACATCGATTACCAAGTCATCAATGGCCTCCACTTCAAATTACGACTCCGGTCTCGATTCGATGCCCGTCAACAAGCCTCATTTCTTCAATGGAGCTAACTACGCCTATTGGAAGAACAGAATGATGTACTTCATTCAAGCAAGTGACATGGGAGCATGGAATGCCGTAGAAGAAGGATACATTAAGCCTATCACTCATCCAAGGTTGTGGAGTGAAGGAGATACAAAAATGTTCCAGCTCAACTCCAAAGCCATCCATATTATCTTTTGTGCTCTTGGACCAGATGAATACGGAAGAGTTTCATCGTGTACAACCGCCAAAGAAATATGGGACAAGCTTCAAGTTACACATGAAGGTACCGATGAGGTAAAGAAATCAAAAATTAGTATTCTAACGCATAGCTATGAAAATTTCAGGATGAAACCAAATGAAGACATCAAAGCTATGACGGATAGATTTTCAACGATTGTCAATGGTCTCAAATCATATGGAGAGATCATCTCAAATGAAAAGCTTGTGAGGAAGTTAGTCTAATCCCTCCCAAAATCATGGCAATCAAAGAAGACGTCAATCATCGAGTCTAAGGACCTATCGTCCTTAACTCTTGAAGAACTTATCGGTTCACTCCTCACTCATGAGATGATGCTTGAAGATGAGGTGGACCTTGATAAAGTTGAAGAGACACCAAAGGAGAAGGAGAAGAAGAAAAACATTGGAGTTGCTCTCAAATCCACAAAAGATGAGTGATTCTAATGATGATGATGATGACGAGGAAATGGCATTGTTTGCCAAACGGTTCAGAAAAATGATGAGACCTTACCGAGGAAGAAAATTCAAACGAAATGAAGGCCTCAAAGATGAACCAAAAGAGAAGGACCCGATCATTTGCTATGAATGGAAAAAGCCAGGGCATGTCAAATATGATTGCCCACAATTGAAGAAGAAGGGTCAATCAAAGAATAAGCACAAGGCTCATGTGGCTACATGGAGCGATGAAGAAGGTTCCGATGAAGAGGAACAAGAAGTAGCAAACTTGTGCTTGATGGCATTTGGGGAAGATTCTAAGGTAACCTCTAACTCATCTGATTTTGATGATTTATCTTATGATGAGCTATTAGAGGAATATAATGGGTTGGCTTCGGATTATGAGAAATTATTTTTAAAATATAAAAATGATGTTTCAAAGTTGAAAAATGAAAATAAACTCATATCCAAAACCAACAATGATCTTGAAAGTAAAATTAAAGATTTGCAAATCAAACTAGAAGAGTTTGAAAAGAAAAATTTAGATTTGCAAAATTTACTTTCAAAGGTCAATAATGATCATCAAAAGAAAATTGATGATCTTAAAACTTCTTTTGATAAAGTTGGAACAAAACGTTTTGAAAAAGGAGAAAATTCAAAATCCAACTTTGTTAGAAAAGATTTTAGAAACTACAATCATAGAAATCCTCAACGAACCTTAAATGGTAAAATCTTTAGAAGTATATGGGTTCCTAAAGGACTCATTACTACTAAAGATAAAGATATCCTACACAAATGGATACCTAAGGGAACTAGGATTTTGGAAACTAATGAATATGGACCCAAAAGAATTTGGGTACCAAAAATCAAAAATTAATCTATGTTTGTAGGGAAAGGAGCATTGCTACAAGGCACGGGAAACAAATTCAAATTCATGGTACCTTGATAGTGGATGCTCAAGACACATAACCGGAGACAAAAGCCGGTTCATTGAGCTTAACGCCAAAAATGGAGGAGAAGTGACTTTTGGAGACAATTCAAAAGGTCACATTTAAGGTATTGGTACAATAGGTAATACCTCTTCCATACAAATTAAGAATGTTTTATATGTGAATGGATTAAAGCATAATCTATTAAGTATTAGTCAATTATGCGATAAAGGATTCAATGTCTTATTTGAAATTAATGGTTGTAAAGTCATTGACATTGCATCTAATCGGATTATGCTTGTTGGTCATAGAATAGGAAACATTTACATGGTGCATTTAGATTCTATTGATATGACTAATTTATGCCTAGTTGCTAAGGATGAGCATGATAGTTGGTTATGGCATAGGAGACTAGGTCATGCTAGTATGAGTGTTTTGCAACGGTTAATTCAAGGAGACTTAGTAAGAGGGTTGCCTAAGCTTAAATTTGATAATGATAAAATCTGTGATGCTTGTGCTAAAGGAAAACAAAAACGAGTTTATTTTAAATCTATTAATGATGTATCAACTAGTAGAGTATTACAATTGATCCATTTAGATCTTTTTGGGCCAACTAGAACTACTAGCTTGGGAGGAAAACAATATGCATTTGTCTTGGTAGATGACTATTCTAGATACACTTGGGTTATATTCTTAAGTACTAAAGATGAAGCATTAGAAAATTTCATCACATTTTCAAAAATAATCCAAAATGAAAAAGGTTACTCTATCACTAGTGTTAAAAGTGATCATGGAACTGAATTTGAAAATCTTGGATTTATTGAGTTTTGTAATTCTAATGGTATTAGCCACAATTTTTCAGCACCTAGAACCCCTCAACAAAATGGAGTTGTTGAGAGGAAAAATCGAACTTTAGAAGAAATGGCTAGAACCATGCTTTGTGAAAATAATTTGCCAAAATATTTTTAGGCGGAAGCCACAAATACCGCTTGTTATGTTATAAATCGAGTAATGATTAGGCCAATTTTAAAGAAAACTCCATATTAAATTCTCAAAAATAAAAAGCCTAACATTAGCTATTTTCATCCTTTTGGATGTAAATGTTTTGTTTTAAACAACGGTAAAGAAAATCTTGGTAAATTTGATGCTAAAAGTGATGAAGGAATTTTTCTGGGTTATTCCTTAAACTCTAAAGCTTATCGTGTATTTAATAAAAGAACTTTAGTTGTAGAAGAGTCTATACATATTGTTTTCGATGATAATCCCCTTCCGAGGAATGATTCTTCTGTTAATGATGATGTAGGTATTGTACAAGCAAATGACGTTAGACATGACGTTGGAGAATCATCATCAAAGGAAGAAACAAAAGATGAGGAAACTCATGATCCCCTCGAGAATCCAACCATTGAAGAAAGGGAAGTATCTTTTCCAAGAGAGTACAACTATGTCAAAGATGGTGAAATTATAGGTGATCCATCAAAAGGGGTAACTACTCGATCTTCTCTTAGAAATATCTGTAATTATGTTGCATTTATTTCATGTATAGAGCCTAAGAACATCAAAGAAGCATTAAAAGATGAACATTGGATTATGGCTATGCAAGAAGAATTAAATCAATTTGAGAGAAGTAAAGTATGGATATTAGTTGAAAGGCCTAGTAATAAATCTACTGTAGGTACTAGATGGGTTTTTAGAAATAAACTTGATGAAAGTGGTAATATAGTGAGGAACAAGGCTAGACTTGTTGCTCAAGGCTATACTCAAGAAGAAGGCATAGACTATGATGAAACATACGCTCCCGTAGCTAGGATGGAAGCAATTAGAATGTTATTAGCATTTGCATGTTTCAATGAATTTAAATTATATCAAATGGATGTTAAAAGTGCATTTTTAAATGGTTTTATAAAAGAAGAAGTGTACGTGGAACAACCTCCAGGTTTTGAAGATTCAAATTTTCCGGATCATGTTTTAAAATTGACAAAAGCTCTTTATGGTTTAAAACAAGCTCCTAGAGCTTGGTATGAAAGATTGTCAAATTTTTTAATTGAAAAAGATTTTTTAAAAGGAAAGGTTGACACTACATTGTTTTTAAAGAGAAAAGGTAAAGATTTATTAGTAGTTCAAATTTATGTTGATGATATAATATTTGGTTCTACTAATGATGTTCTTTGCCAATAATTTTCTAAGCTAATGCAAAGTGAGTTTGAGATGAGCATGATGGGGGAGCTCTCATTTTTCTTGGGACTCCAAATCAAGCAAAGAAAAGATGGCATCTTCATTAATCAAGCTAAGTACGTCAAAGATATGCTCAAGAAGTTTGGACTGGAAAATGGGAAACCTCATAACACTCCAATGAGCTCTTCAACAAAGCTTGACTTAGATGAAGGAGGTAAATGTGTAGATGTTAAATTATATAGGTCAATGATTGGCTCTTTGCTTTATCTAACTGCAAGTAGACCGGACATTATGTTTAGTGTTTGCTTATGTGCTAGATTTCAATCATGTCCTAAGGAATCACATTTACTAGCTGTTAAGAGAATCTTTAGATACCTTAAGGACACTCCTAGTTTAGGACTTTGGTATCCTAGAGATTCTAGTTTTAGCTTGCATGCTTTTTCTGATGCGGATTATGGAGGATGCAAATTAGATAGGAAAAGCACCTCCGGTACTTGCCAATTCCTTGGAAATATGCTGATTTCTTGGTTTTCAAAGAAACAAAATTGTGTTGCATTATCTACCACTGAAGCGGAATACATTTCAGCCGGTAGTTGTTGTGCACAAGTTTTATGGATGAAACAACAACTTTTTGATTATGGAATTGAAGTAGGTACTATTCCTATCAAGTGTGACAATACTAGTGCTATTTGTCTCACTAAAAATCCCATCCAACACTCTAGAACTAAGCATATTGAAATAAGACATCACTTCATTAGAGACCATGTCACTAAGGAAGATGTAGTTCTAGAATTTGTTGATACTTTGCACCAATTAGCGGATATCTTTACAAAACCCTTAGACAAGGAAAGATTTTGGACACTTAGGAGAGAATTAGGTTTGACCAACCTATCTTCACTTAGTGTTTAAAATAATTTTAGCACTTTTAATAAATCTTGAAAAATGCTTATAATAATAATTTTTGATTGCATTCTTGCTATTAGTTAGGGGGAGTTTGTGATTCTTAGTGAAAATTAATTTTATGTTCAAAAATTAATTAAAGATTAATTTAATTGTTTGAACATAATTAATTTTTGATATATGAGTTGCCAATACCACTAGAAAAGATTAATTTAGCATTTTGTGCTTAAAAAAATCGGATTTTAGCATTTTGGTACAGAAGGAATCGATCCCCCCTGAGGGAACCGATTCCCCCTTTGAAGGGGAACCGATTCCCCCCACAGGGGAATCGATACCCCCCTGGGGTTCTGTTAAAATCGGCAGAACACCCCCAAAATCCCAAAACCCTCTTCTCTCCCTCTCTTCCGCCGTTCTTCACCTCCTACACCCTCAAATCTCCATTTTTGTCTCAAATCGACGATATTAATCGGAATTTATTTCATATATCATCTTCTAAACATGTTGAAATCATTAAAGTCGTGCAAACAACATCTAAATCCCCTCAATCTTAATCTTTCAAGGTAATATTTCTAAACTCTTTATTTCATTATTTTTGAACATAGGATTAGTTTTAATTAGTTCTAGGTTGAAATAGTGATCGGGCATTGATTATTTAGTGATTAGAAACTAGATGTTACAACTAATTTCATCAAAAACACAAGAATTTTTCAAATTTTTTTAATTTTCGAAATAAAAAAAATGTTATTTTTCAAATTATTGTGTTTTGATTAAATTATGTTGTTATTATGAAAAATATACATATATTGTTTCTCAAAACCATATTTTTCAAGAGTTTCTCAAAAACTTTGCCCATTAGGATTGATTTAGAGAACCTTGAAATATTGAGGACTCAATTGAGTTTTGGGATTAATTGAGTTGCATACATTTGTTTTAAAAATTGCAGGTTATTCTATCTATTCCGATTTCCTTCACCATGTCAAATCCTAAACGTCCTAGGTCTTCATCTAGTCGTTCTAGTCGTCAACCAAATCCACCTCCAAATCCTCCTTCTATTCCAATTTCTAATCCCAATCCCACTGATCCTAACTTGACTATTCAAAATTCGTGTTTTAATCATCCTGGGTCTAGAAATCACCGATTTTGGTATTATCAATATTTCGATTCTTACAAAATCTGGGAAGAACGTATTCCTTCTCGTCAAGCTATGTTAGCTATCGATTTTAAATATCTTCCCATTTTACAAGAATGGAAATTTGATAAACTATTTGATCTTGAACCCATCGTTTACCATCAACTTGTTCGTATATTCTACTCTAATGCCGTATGTGTTAAAAACCAAGCTGAAACCGAAACCATAGGAATTCGTTCCTACCTCCTAGGACAATTCTTATATATTGACCCGTCATATATAGCCAATACATTTGGATTAGATAATGATGGTATTTCGAATGAAAAACAAATTTTAGGTTCTCGTTATAAAAGAATAGATAGTGCGAGTGTCTTAGACCTACATGAGCGTTTTCTTCATCTAATGATTTCTTGGTGGTTTCGACCATCCGGAGGTCGTTATTCTACTCTTAGAGCTTTGGATCTTTGGTGGTTACATTGTTTCGAAAACCGTATTAAAATTAACCTACCTCAGATTATTTTTACTGAAATTGTTGAAACCGTAAATCTTGTTCCTAACAAGAAACACTGTTCATCTCTAGTTTACGGTTGCTTTTTGAGTAATCTGTTTTCCAAAGCTGGGCTTAGAGTCGGTCTAGATGCCGTTTTTCCTCTTAAGAAACAAATAAATCTTCTTTCCTTAACGAGAGCGGGATGGGTAAAGAACAAAGAAACCGGTGAATGGGTTCGATCTTCTACTCCGGGAGCTAGTTCTTCACAAGCTCCACCCAAAGGTGACGAAGATCCCGAGCTTGAGCAATTAATGTAAGATATTGATGAAGCCGAAGATGAGCCTGATCAGCCCGAAGAGCAGCCCGAGGAGCAAGCACAACAAACGCATCAAATGCCTCCATATTTTCAATCCTTTATGGAGACATTCGATTTCCGATACGCTACCATGGACTCGCGCTTTTCCTCTATAGAGTCTCATTTATCCACAATGGGAGCTCAACAATTAGAGATTCTTCGGGAGATGCGTGCAAACAATGAATCTACCAACGCTCGTATCAATGAACTAACTCATGAAATGGCTGCTATGCGAGCCCGTTTTCCTCCTACCGATCCGGATGCTTGATTTTATGTTTAGCTTTAAAACTTTGAACAAAATGAATATTGTTTCAATATTTTGGATTGTTTGATTTTATGGATTGTTGGATTTTAGATTTATGAATAGTGTGAACTTATATGTTTTATTCATTTTTGCATCATCATTAGCAATATGACCAATTTTTGCCATATCACATTATTTATGAATATTGATGAAACTAATGGCTAACCTCTCTTTTGATTGTGATCTTAGCAGCTTAAGCTTATAATTAATAAATCAATTGGCTAAATGATTTCAAAACCTTGTTTTACAATGTCTTTTTGATTTAACAAAAAGGGGGAGAATACATAATAAATTGAAGAAGTGTTAAAGTAAGGGGGAGTAATTTCAAAACTTGATTTCAAAAATCTTAAAATTACTAAAATGTTTTGTTATATCAAAAAGGGGGAGATTGTTGAAACATTTTGATATTTCGATATAACAAATTAAGTTAAATGGATTTTAAGATTTTCCAAATGATTTTTTAAGTATATTCGATATAACTATTCGAATATCAAAACATTACTCCAAATATTTCAAAAATCATTTTTAATCCTTACTTAAGTGTAAAATTAAGTTTTAATCATAAAACAATTTCAAAATAATTTTACAAAGTATTTCGAACCAATTCAGAGCCAAAATTTCCAGATTGCTCAGAGGGAACCGATTCCCCCCATAGGAGGAACTGATTCCCCCCTGAATGGTTTGGCTCCGAGAATTCCAGTATGCTCGGAGGGAACCGATTCCCCCCAAGGGGGTACCGATTCCCCCCTTGTACAACGGTCGAAATATTTGAATTTTACACTTAGGGAACCGATTCCCTATGAGGGGGAACCGATTCCCCCCACGCTCCAAGCTGTTTTATTAAATGTTTTCACACTAAAACGGCTATAATATCTTCTCTAATCATCCCCAACGTTCAGAAGTGATCCAAGGTGTATTTAAGCAAGCTTAGAAGCCATTGATCAATAACAAGAAACATCAAGCAACTAGAATCAAGAGAGAGTCAAAGAGAAAGCATCAAACCTCAAGTTTGAGCATTTCAATCCTATTTTCATTCAATACTCATTTTGCTTTCAAGAACACTTTTTGTGCTCAATTGTATTCATCTTTGAGTGTTCTTTTCTTTGTTCTAGAATTGTGCAAACATCTTACCTTGTGAGGTTTTCTTGTAAGTTTGCAAATTTGTAATCTTCTCTTTGAGAAAAGAGTGTTCTCAAGAGTTGGGGTATACTCTTGAGGGAATTGTAAGGTTATCTCTTTGGCCTCAAAAGAAAGAACAAATTAGTGAATTTGTTGGAAAATCCTTAGTGTGGATAGCTAAGGTAGTGGACGTAGACTTTGTTTAAGAAAGTCGAACCACTGTAAATCGCTGTGCAATTACTTTCAATTTTCTGCAAAAGCTTCCACAAAATTTTTATTGCCAATTCACCCCCCTCTTGGCCAATTTCGTCATTCGATTAACTCAACAGGTTTTTCTGGAAGGGCATTGATACTTTAGCAAGAGGTGCTAGAGTTAGCTGGAATCAGGTTTGCACTCTAAAATCAGAGGGTGGTTTGAGATTAAGGAAGCTTGCTGATTGGAGCAAGGCTTACTGCCTTATGCTAATAAAAACATTCTTACTGGGGATGGGTCCTTATGGATTGTTTGGGTTAAGATTTACTGTTTCAAGTTTGTTGATTACTGGGATGTTGCCAGTAAACCTCACTTTAGTTGGATTCTTTGCAAACTGATTAAGATGAGGGAAGAGGCTAGAAGGCTTTTCAGTCATATGGCTAATTTGTCATAGATTAAGGGCAGATTGATTTGGGATAATATCAGAGAAAGGAGAGAAAAGGTGATTTGGCATCGGTTGATTTGGTTCCCAGCTCATGTCCCTAAATTTTCTTTGGTTGCTTGGATGATGCTACTGGATAGACTGCCAACCAAGGACAAATTAGGCTGTTTTGGTATTGTGACTGATAATTTGTGTGGGTTGTGTGGGGTTAGCGAGGAAACTCGAAACCATTTATTCTTGGAATGCTCCTATACGAGTGATATCTGGTGTGCAATTATGCACGCTTGTGGTCTGCAACACCAAATGCTGAGATGTTGGGATGATGCTATTCACTGGATGATTTTGAATTTTAAAGGTAAGTCCCTCTTGGTCCATATCCTCAAGTTAGTTTGGACTGGTTTTATTTACTTTATTTGGGAGGAGCGAAATCACAAGTGTTTTAGAGGTGTGACTCGTTCGGTTGATTCAATTGTAAATAAAATTAGTGAGGCTATTAGAATTAAGCTACATAGGTGTCATACGAATAGGATTGATGCTGTAAATAGGCGGTTGTGCCTTAATTGGGGGTTGATATAGTTATTTGTATTGTTTTCTTGTAGCAGCTTTGTTGCTTTCTTTTGGATGAATAAAATTTTACTTATCCAAAAAAAGGTTTTTAAACTCTAAATTTTTGAAGGGATGAAATTTGAAAGCCCGCTTGAAAATTTTCATTCACACGCCATCAAGATAATGAGGTTTTTAAGTATTTAAATGTAATTTTTTGAACATATATATTAAGTAATTAAATATAAAAACAATAATTATGTGTCATTTTAGAAGTTTTTTGTTTTTACTGTGTTATCAAAAAAAATATGTGTCGTTGTTGCAGTTCGACTCTCATTCATACTCGTACAATTACATGCCTCCAACACATATAATGTGTGTTTACTTTTTATCACAAATTTTCTTTTTTCCCCTTCGTTTCAACTTAATATGTGCTTTAATTGTCGCCACATAGAGAAAAAGCACATAATACAAGACGAGTTTTCAAATATGTCTTCCACACACATACTTTTAATTTATAGTAAAAAGGGATGACAATCTAAATAAATTAAGTAAATCCGATTTGATTATCATATTTTTGTACTCGTCACTTAATTTAATATAAATATAGGGAAAGATCTACCCAGTTCAAACCAAAATTAAGTAATCTCCGTACAAGCTGAATTTTTTGTAAAAACATGCATCGCCATCCGACATGATATATATATATTTCTTGATAAAATAGATATCTAATTAAAATATATAGAGAAAAACATATTACTACTATTACATCTAAATATATATAAAAGATAATTATACTGTTATCTTAGCTCATATCACAAAATTTTCATCATAAACACAAATTAAACCTTATCCTTTAATAAAATTCGACTCAATTAAAACTCAAAGTTTTAAAATAAAAAACAAACCATATAAAATAAAATAAAAACCCGTCTTTGAATCCTATTATGCCCATACCAATCCATCCATGATCAAATTACTAACCAATTGTTAGAGTAGAATTCAATCTAAAACATTGATAAAGTTACACCGTTTCTAAACCAGCTAGCTGCTCTCGATATACAAAATCAAATCTTATGCATATTACCACAATGTAATACTACTTTCATATTTTCCCTACTTTCTAAAACAACAGAAAGGCAAATGTGGTTTATAACGAGAAGAGGAGGAGATTGAACTTGAACTTATATGACAGCAGCCCTCACTGGTCCTTTCATCAGCCCTATCGCTTGGACGGCCTCTCATTATCATCATCCTCTCCGCTGTCATCACCATCGACATCGGAATCATCTCTGTTCGATCTCTTCCTCTTCGGTGGAGCTTCAATCTTGCCAGCACCTACGTTTACTTCCTCTTCCTCTTCTTCATCAGCGTCGTCCTCACCGTTTTCTTCTAGTTCGAAATCACTAACGTCTTCTTCATCTTCGGCTCCACCAACGGGTCGGACAAGGTGTTCTGTTCCCATATCCCCCCTAACACAAAACATGTAAAGGAAATCACGACCAAAAAGATTAACGAAACTATTTTTCCAGTATATTTTCCTAGTAACCAAACATAATGGAATAAATAAGTTCAAAATATAACCGTAGATCTAAAGCTTTAAGACAGGATCTGAAAGCTCTAAACTATCCAAAGCATAACGGAGTTTTTTTTTTAAATTCGGATATTGATACCGGCCATCAGCGGCAAAACTCAAGACATAATGCATTCAAAAAAAATATTTTACGAGATGATGCACTGGCCAGATTAATTGCTCGAATGGGGTAAATTCTACAGTGACAGCATAGGTCGCCATGCACGCCCGGTGTCCTTATAGGTCACCATGCACGCCCGGCGTCCTATAAGGTCGCCATGCACGCCCGGCGTCCTATAAGGTCGCCATGCACGCCCGACGTCCTATAAGGTCGCCATGCACGCCCGACGTCCATCATTCTTTGCCCTCTGCTTTGGTTCTTTGCCCGCTGTTGCTCGCTGATGCTGCTTTGGTGCTATGCATAGGCCATGCACGAGGCATGGGATAGGTCGCGCTGCGCTTTGTTCACATGGTCTGATCTCGGCAAACCTCTGCATGGGCCATGCACCAAGGATGACCAAGGATCGGTTCATGCATGGGGCACTCGGGGCGACCAAGGATCGGTTCTATCGTAGGTTGCCATGGCCGGCGACATGGTAGGTCGCCATGGAGTGCCGACATGGTAGGTCGCCATGGAGTCCCGGCGACATGGTAGGTCATGAGTCCGGCGACACCGACGACATGGTAGGTCGCCATGGAGTCCCGGCGACATGGTAGGTCTGCATCATCATGCATCCATAGCTGGGAGATTCCTGCATCGCGACCAAGCTTTAACCCTATCACTCATGCATGCATTGCATCCATAGCTAGCTGGGAGATTCCTGCATCCGTAGCTGCATGCGTTGCATCCATAGCTGTATGATTGCAACGTTAATTTAGCTGTTAAATGCAACAAATATTGCTGTTCAATTGAAGACTTTCAATGCTCAATAGTTATACGATTCAATCCTAATATTATTTTATTCAATAGGCAAATTTTAATGACTCTGTACAACGATTTTTTGCTTTATATAAATGATATGGGGTTTAGGGTAGAAGCAGAAGCAGAACCAGGAGCATAAGCATAAGCACATATAAACTTTGCCGAGAGAAAGAAAAGGAAGAAGAAGAAAATAAGATAAAGGATCAAACATAGTTTGTGAGGTAATTTTTTATTGTTTAATTTAGTTTATTATATGAAATTATTAGTTTGTTAGTTTAAGGTTTAGGGTAAAACTAAAATCTAGTTAATTAGTTTGTTAGTATAAATTATTAGTTTGTTAGTTTAAGTTATATATTATATTATATAAAAAAATTAGTTAATTAGTTTATTAGTTTAAGTTATTAAATATAAAAAAAATATTAATTAATTTGTTAGTGTCTTTAAACATATATTAGATTGTTCATTGAAGTTGAAGTTATATTATAAAAAAATTAATTAGTGCTTAATTAGTGTGTTATTTTAACTAAGTTATATTATAATAAAGAAATAGTTTATTAGTTTAAGTTATATTATAATATATTAGATTATATAAAATTAATTTGTGGGAGCTATTGCTTTTTAAATAAATTAAACGGTTTACACATACAGGGCATTATTCCACAACATTTGCCCATGTTGAAATTGATTCGAATAAAGAAACAAATAAGGAAAAGAAAGGAAATGAGGAAGGCATAAATACGTGAGTAATTTATTATTTTTTGTTGTCTATTTTTGTTGTTGTGTATGTGTAAATTAGTTAGATATTAAGTTTATATTAGATTATATAAACTAATTTGTGCGAGATAATTTTTGTTTAAAAAAATATTGTGTTTAAAAATATTTAGTGTTGTTTTAAAAAAATATTTTGTTTTATTTATATTTATGTGTAAATTAGTAAGGAGTAAAAATTAATTGAATGAAATAATCCGGCCAACGCATTATCACGATATTTTGCCTAACAAATTTATTTGATATTTTTAAAAAATAAAAAATATTATCAAACTAATCATGATTATTAGTAATAATTACTAAATGATTAGTATCAAATCTAAATCATTAAATATTTATAATAAATAATTATTAGTAATCATGTCTAAATCATATTATTATTAAATCATTAAATGTCAAATCATTAGATTAATAATAATTATTAAATCATTATTAATAATATTAGTAATTAATCAATTAATCAAGTTAAATAACAAATTTTATTTGATCATTAATATAATAGTATATTATATTATATTTAATGATTTAATGTTTTATGAAATTATCTTATCTAATATTTTAATCTAAATTAATTTATTTTTTTATTTGTAGAGAAAATGAGCAACAACTTTTTCACGATTGTCCATTATAATGGACAAATTATGGAAAATGAGGTCGGAGTAGTTTTTCAGTCTGAAAAACCAATAAATATGATGTTCAAAAAAGACATCACATTTATAGAAATGAAGCATAAGATAGAAAGAAAAATTCGAGCTACAGTTGATGGTTTGAGGTATAGATTTATGATATGCCCCAACCCAGTTAGATATGCTGCAGTTCCACTTGAAGAAGATGGTGATATTGGAACCATGGTTGGATTACATGAGTCAACCAATATAGCAGTTATTGAGTTATTTGTTGATGTGCGTAACATATGTGATGTTCCTGGGTCATCAAGAGGTGTGGCTCAAAATCCATCTGAAATGGCTTTATATAGTCAGTTTGAGAAGCCGACGTACAGGTTCCCGAACAGTTTTATGGCACTATTGGAAAGTATAAATGAAGACGGGGGAACATCTGCAACAACAGAGTATGAGACGAGAAACATACCGAAATTTGTTGTTGATATTGACGCTGAAAATCGATGGAGAGAAATTCACGATGATTCAAGCGAAGATGAAGAAACCGAAGAACCCGTTTTGGGCGACGACGAAAATATTTTGGTGGAGGTGCAAATGATGAAGTTCCGACACCGTATGAAGCTACTCCTCACATATACGAGATAGACTATGATGCGATGAGGGCACCTGAATTCCCAGATATGCCACATTTACCTCCATACCAAATGACTGAATCATTCGATAATTCTGGTGAATTTTCAGTTGGGGTGCAATTCAGAGGAAAAAATGAAGCTACGCTGACGATTAAAGAGTACTGCATCAAATGCCATGTTGATGTCCATGTTGCAGAGTCTAACCAGAAAACCCTATACGCGAAGTGTGCAAAATATGGCCCAGAGTGCAAGTGGAAGATCAGAGTGTCGAAAAATCAAAGGCACGATGTTTGGGTCATCACGAGGTACAATGGTCCGCCAAATGTAACCCCCTAGACCCGGTCTGTGAGTTAGACTCAAACCTAAGTGGTCACATATCCCATTCAGAGGTTTTTTTTTAATATCTTACAATACATTATATTAATAATACAGATATGTCCAAAATTATAGCAAATACATGTCACCAAACATAACTGAAAAACATATAGAAATATATGTTCGTACAAAATAAGTAGTTGATTTCCACTGATGCCAAATCTGCTAGCTTACTGTCTGCTACTATCTGAAAAAGGGTAAAAACTACAGAATGAGCTAAAAAGCTCAGTGTGCTCCATACAGTATATAAGAAAAATATACAGATAAAATCTTTCAATGAAGTCGGTTTATGCAATATGTTTTTATTTTTATTTTTAAAACATGAACACTACCCCCATCCGTTCATATCATAATTGTGTAGGTTCCCCAGAACCATACACCCAACCGCACATGCCATTTAGACCCTGAGCACAAAGCCGAGAAGTCTGCAGATAATCTTCCTTCAACAATACCCCCCCAAATGACAATGAATGTATTCAATTGAAAACAATGATTAATCACTTAAAACATAACAAATATTTCATACTTAGAAACCATATGCAGAAATACGGAAATCAGAATTCAAATCAATAATTCAGATATCAGATAAGCAGATCTCAGAAATCGGTATGAAATACCTTAATTCAGAAATTATATCAGAATATACAGCAAATCAAATATCAAATACTCGGTATTCAGATAAATTATTTAAATCAGTAATATAATACTGTTAGGAAACACACCTGTAACAGTCTGGGAAATCAGATAGGGAAGCCTATTACTGGGTATGTCGATCACGTTCTGCTGCAGCGCTAGACCCTACGAATTGGAAAAATCCATATTGGAATCCTAATATAAATAATCTAAATATTATTTAAATAATATACGGAAACCTACGGGTAATTCTCGTAGTACGCGATTCAGGCTGATCTAACGAACGGATAATACCGGACCTAATTGATCCTTGCTCAGGTGAAACACGAGTACCTTCATAAAATATTTTATTGAAAAATATCCTTGACCAAATCTCATTTAAATAATCAAAATATTAAAATATTAAGCCTTTTGGGTTTACAAGCTCGATTCGGGAATTTCGGGTCAGAATTTGGCAAAACGGACTTCGGAATCAAATTCAGGACGTCGAAAAACATAAAGTATGACCATCTGAAAATTCGAATTCTTGGTCAAAATTAAAGTAAACGGTTTTGACTGACGATTTGGAGACATTCGGGTTTGAATTTAGCAAAACGGACCCCAAAAACGGATTCAGGACGTCGAAAACTATCAGGATAGGTATTCTCGGTCGAAAACAAAGGTCGTTTAAGAGCCGGTCAAAGCCGGTCAAAGTTCTGGTCAAAGGAGGTCAACAAACTGTCAAACATTTTACACAAATAGCACCATTTTCGAATTAATTCCCAAAATATCATTTTGTTTCGAAAATTACTATAATAGCACCCATTTCGAATTAATTCCCAGAATAGCACCAAAACTGAATTAATTCCCAGAATAGCACCGGT